CTATAAATATAAATAATTTAATTTAAATAAAACTATATGAAATTAATTCTGATGCCTTGGTAGGATTCCCCACTCGACCATTCACTGTTGGGTTCTAATTAACAGTGCTGCTCCTAAAGTGGCGCTGGGAAACAGTAACAAAGCCTACCCAGAACATAAGGCGAAATAACCTTAGCAGTTGAAGCCGATGACACACACACAAAAAAAAACTATATGAAGTCAGTGTAATAACGAATATTAAAACTACAAATATAAAAGTATAGGTGGTCCTGTGATCAGCGTTCTGGCCTTCCGCGCGGAAGATTGGAGTTTGATTCTCGGATGGGGAAGACTAAAATGAACTTTTTTTCGTTTATTTTATTTTAAAAATTATTAAAAGTCATAAATTATTTTAAAATTAGTTATTTTGTCTTAATAACCTAAAATATTTTTTTTATTTGTAAATTTTCGTTAGTGGGTCGTAGATAAAATATACTGTACAATTCGAGTGGATTGTTCATCATATCCACTCTTGTTGCACAAACTACTATTGTATAAAAATTAATTTTAAAAATAGTGGCTTACCACTAAATTTTCTCGAAATGTGTAACTATTGATCAATTCGTATCTAAGCCACTGTATTATTATTATTTAGAAAAAAAAAAAAATAAATACTAGATGAATTATGTCAAGAAGGGGAAATGTGACATAACAAAATAAAAATTGGAAAATATGTCTTTCAGAAAGCGGAGTTTTTTTTAACTTTTTATCTTTAATTTTCTTCAACTTTTTTTAAAACAGTTATTAACGTCATGTGGAAACGTAGTAATTGTGGTCTTTGATAACATTCAAACTTTCAAACCTCAGGAATTCCGTGGCGCCATAGGTGCCGTAGAAAATTAATATTATGGGGTCACATTATTGATTATAAAACAAACATTATATGTATTATCAGTGAAAATTTAATTAAAATGTCATAACATTAGACATATTAGATATATGACGCGTATTGACCGATTATATTATCAAAATATTTTTCTTTTTGGTAAGGTCCGATTACAATTAGAAGAACACAGCTACGTCTTCATTTGGCAAAGTAATTAATTTGTTATCTTTGCCTACTGGGGCTTTAATGGAGTTTCAATATTATAGGAATATAGAAAATATAGTATTATACCTAACAACATACTTATTTTTTATTGATAGTTATAGAAAATATGTATTCGAAATTCAAATTGTAATCGAGCCCTACTATTTTATTTTTGAGAATCCAATAGTCAATATGTTATGCATGCATATGGACAGTACCGGTTTTAGCACTCAAAATGGTAGAAAGTTGTTTGTTTTTTATTATTTCTTGATTTTTGTCATAAAATTTTTGATAAAACAAATTTTGTTCCAGTAACAAAAACATTGAAATTTTAACCCCTCTAAAATCCTTAACTCACATATAGCATTCAAAATAATATAAGAAAAATTGTTTATTTTTTTGTTATACATATAGCAGCTATTGGCGTGATAAAATAAAAAAAAACAAATTTAGTCCCAACAGCAATAATGTTGAAATGTCAACCATCTCTAAAATCCTTAGTTCTTGTTTATTTTTTATATATCGATATAATAAACATTTAAAAAGGGTAAAACTTAAAAGTACTTGTACATTAAGAAAGTACAAAAAATTATTCCATAACCAAACAGAGAAATATTACATTCTATAAAAATATAACCATAAAATAAAGTAACCTAAAAGAAATTTTTCTTTCTAACTTTGATTTCCGCAAATGTTTTTATTACATCTTTTAAGTTAACTTGATCAGCAATTTCATGCTCAATCGCTAAAATGGCCAACCCATTAAGACGATTTTACGTTGTAGTTGAATGTAAAAAGTTCTTAATCAATTTTAATTGGGGGAAAACTTATTTCTCCACTTACAACAGTTACTGGTATAGACAGCAATACTTTTAAGGAAACACTTAGGTTTAGGGCACAATTTAACATTGTTATTAATTTTAGAATATTGCCTGGGCTTTGATTATAAAAATTGAAAATAATTACTATGGTTACTAAGTTGTTTAAATATAGTATCTATTGTATTTAGTGCCTGGTCAATTGTAAAATAAAAAAGTCTACCTTATAATTTTCTTTAGGATTCTCGATCGGTTCATCTCGTGCTTCGTATGAGAAATGCCTTTTTTTTCTTCTTACGCGGTGTCGTGGTATTGTTGATTCAAAATTGGCTTCAACGTCAACTTCGTCAGCCAGTTCTCTCGCATCAACAATAGTTAAAAGATTTATCCGATCGAAGATCCTGAAAAAACTTTTTGCAATGTTGCAAAAGATTAAGTGTAGATGCTAGATCAGTGGTCGCCAACCTCTCAATGTGTTGAGCTACTTTGTTAATTTTGGAATAAACAGCGAGCTACCCACACGGAAGCCACGTAACGCAACGTAAATGAAATAATTCACAGTTAATTTATCATTATATGTATTTATTTTACTATTTAACTGGTAATACATAATACATAGGTACTAATAATAAACTAATAACAAAATAACTAATATTACTAGTACGTACTTGTTCATAGCTACATTCCTACCTACCAAACGACGGTGTTTGAAAAATAAACACAACTTTTTAATAATAACAACAAAAAAGTAACGCACTATCATGAACATAAACATTGAAAAATAAGAAAGCACGTTCAATGAGAAGGCTGACACTCAGACTCATCGATAATTTTTTTAATGTTTGCAGTATAATTCGATACAGCCATTCGAATACAATTATCCAAATGTTCATCTGTAAGTCGATTGCGATATTTCTTCTTAATAAACTTCATATTGAAAAAAGAAGATTCACACAAATAGGTTGAACTGAATAATGCTTTTAATTTCAAGGCAACACGGCATAGAACTGAATATTTGTCTTTACTTACAATAGGCCAGATACATTTGGTACTTGAGACTAACGATTTTAAGGCTAAATCATTTTGAAACTCAATTACTTCCATCTGTTGCAGCGATGTCTTCGCCAAAGTTCTGCATAACACAAGTTGCAAACTGTTGGATATCAATTTCCATAAAGGGTGAAACAACAAACTGCGCTACTAAAGCCATTTCGTTGAAATCCTTAAAACGATTTTTGAAGTTATTCTTCAGGGTAGAAACTATTTCTACATGATGTTTGCTGTCATAGGGTTCTAATAGATTTTGAGATATTTTTTCTGAAAGAATAGGAAAATGCTTGGCATCGCTGTTAATTAGGTTTTGTTCCCAAAACTCCAGCTTTTTGATAAATGCTTTTATATCAGAAATCATTTCCGCTAGTTCCTTTGTCTCTCCCCTGAAGCTGCAAATTAAGTTCGTTTAATTTCTCTGTAATTTCCACGAGAGAACCAAAATCTCTAAGCCAGATTGAATGTTCTAGTTCCGGAATCGGTTCATCGCGTTGTTTGAAAAATTGAACTATGCCAGATAGGACATCATTAAAACGTTTCAGCACCCGTCCTCTTCTTAACCATCGGACTTCAGAGTGAAGGAGTAGGTCCCCGTATTGACAGTCAACTTCATCGGCCAAGGTTTTGAATAATCTTCTTTTTAACGCTTGAGCTCTAATCTTGTTCACAATTTTTACCACCAGTTTCATAACGTTGTTTAGTTTCAGGAAATTTCCACATAATGCTTGCTGATGGATAATGCAGTAGTAACAGAGAAATTGCGGAAAAGTTTCATCTTTACGACATAACGCCACCAGACCCTTATCACAACCCACCATAGCTGGAGCGCCATCGGTTGTCAAGCCTACCATTTTCGATATTAGAATTTTCTCGGAAGAAATAATATTTTTTAAATGAGAAAACAACTCCTGTCCAGTAGTGTGTCCTTTCAGTGGAATAAACTTCAAAAGATCTTCTTTAATCGTAAAATCACTAAAAACCATCCTGACGAACACGGCCATCTGGGCAGTGTCAACGACATCTGTTAATTCATCCAGTTGAAGTGAAAAATAAACACAGTTATCTAAGTCAGTTCTTAACTGTAAAAAAATATCATTGCTCATTACTTCTACACGTCTCATCACTGTATTAGCAGAAAGTTGCATAGATTTTATGGCTGAAACTATCTCGTCTTTATTTCTAAAGTTGGCAAATAACGAATCAGCAGCTTCTAAAAACGCCTGTTTTATCATTTCTCCGTCTTCATAAGGTTTCTTTTTTTGTGCAATCATCTGGGACACACGGTACGATGCTTCAGTTGCAGCCTTATTTTTGTCGACTGTTCTTAAAAATATTGATTGTTGTCCAATTAACTGCTTTTTTAACTGTTTCAGTTTCTCCTTTCTGGCGGCAGAATGTAGTGGGAATGATTTTTCAAAATTAGAATGTACAGTTTTATGATGTCTCTCAATATTTCCTTTTTTAGCAACGGAGACCGAAGTATTACATAACAAACACACATTTTTATCTTTAACTTCTGTAAAAAAGTATTGTTCTTCCCATTCCGAATGAAAGTGGTATGTCTTTACCTTCTTACAACTGCTTGCCATAATATTTTTTGTTGTTCTCTACTAACCCAACCGCTGGACGTTGGTTACGCGTTCAGTTTTAAACTAAGCGCAATGTCGCCGCGCCGTGCGTATTTATCCCGTTCAAAGCAATCCTGATCGTTCTCGAACACTAACGCGCTGGTCCAGCTGGTCGGTTCTAGCCGATTCTAGCTTGATGGCGTCAGCGGCAGATCGCTCACCGCAACGTTGCCGCTGTTTATGTTTAATATTATGACAATTAGATTTTTTTGTGGAATTTTCGGAAGCTTCTCTGATTTTTGCAGTTTGTATTTTTTAAATTAAAATCGTTGTGAGAGCTACCAGAATTGCCTCCGCGAGCTACCGGTAGCTCGCGATCGACAGGTTGGCGACCACTGTGCTAGATCATAATCTTATTTTAAATGTAAATATATTTGTTCGTGTTTAAACTGTAATGTCTAAAACAATTTTAAGATGAATTTTTCTTTGTTTCAGGTTTCTAAACCCGGACACTTTCCAAAGTTTGACACACGTCTATTACCTAAGCCTAGCGGATAATGATGTGGGAGAAGTACCTGTAAAATTGTGGAAACAAGTGCCCAATGTGAAAACCCTAGACCTAGGAAGAACGAAAATTAAATCCCTATCAGAATCCAGTTTTAAGGTAGCTTTTCTTTAATTTTATTTATTATTGTACGATTTAGTACATTTTTTTCTTTTCAGGAATTAAAACACGTCCAATGCTTGGTCCTAGCTGGAAATCAAATTTCTGAAATGGATTCAAAATCGATACCACCGCAAATAGATCGACTTCACATCGGTAGAAATCATATCAAGCATTTGAACAATACTTTGAGGAATTTGTCCGAACTAAGATGGCTGTTTATTAATTGTAATGAATTGGAAGACATCGAGAATCAGCTGCCTAAATTTGCGCCCAATTTAGAGTACGTATCGACCTAAAAAAATGCCCCTTGTTTCATGACAGACGAGGTTCTTAAATAACAATCTTTTATTTTAAGGTTAATTCATGCATCTGATAATCTACTGGAAAAGTTGCCGCAGCAGTTGAAGAATTTTCAAAATTTAAAGTCGATTTTCTTCCATAACAACAGGTTGACATCTTTAGATGGTGCTTTATCTAAATCCTCGCGTTTGGAGCTCGCCGCTTTGGAACACAATCATCTAAAAACGGTAAGAAATATATCAATACCTTATGTTTCCCATTTTCTTAAGTGTATTCATCGCATATATTCTGTAGCAATCTCGAGAAATTCTGTAGCTACCTCAAGAGAGTCTGTAACAATCTTGAAAGATTCTATTGCAACTTTCAAAGAGCCGCCTTGAAATATTTTATAGCATCCTCGATAGATTCTGTAGCAAATTTTAGAGATTCTTTAGTTACTTCACAAGAGTAATTTCGAGATATTCTATAACGTCCTCAAAATTTGTATCGTAATCTCAAGAGATTATGTAGGAACTTCCAGATATTCTGTAGGAACCTTGAAAAGTTTTATAGCAATCTTAGGAAATTCTGTAGAAACTTCCAGAGATTGTAGCAACGTCGAGATATTCTGTAGTAATTTAGAAATATTTTATAATAACCTCGAAAAATTCTGTAGAAACCTCTAAAAATTCTATAAGAACCTGGAGAGATTCTGTAACAACTGTCAGAGATTATGTAGATAATTCCAGGGATTCAGTAGTAATTCTGAGAAAACCTATAACGACCTCAAAAGACTGTATTGCAACCTTAAGAGACTATGTAAGAACTTCCAGAGATTCTGTAGCAACCTTGAAATATTCTGTAGCGATGTTGATAGATTCTGTAGAAACTTGCGGAGATTCTATAACAAACTCGAAAGATTCTGTAGCAACCTCTAAAAATTCTATAGAAACCTGGAGAGATTCTGTAGCAACTGTCAGAGATTATGTAGGTGATTCCAGAGATTCGGTAGTAATTTCGAGATAACCTTTAACGACCTGCAAATACTGTATTGCAACCTTAAGAGACTATGTACGAACTTCCAGAGATTCTGTAGCAACCTTGAAATATTCTGTACCGATGTTCGGAGATTCTGTAGAAACTTGCAGAGATTCTGTAGAAACTTGCGGAGATTCTATAGCAAACTCGAAATATTCTGTAGCAACCTCTAAAAATTCTATAGGAACCTGGAGAGATTCTGTAACAACTGTCAGAGATTATGTAGGTAATTCCAGATATTCGGTAGTAATTTCGAGATAACCTATAACGACCTCCAAAGATTGTATTGCAACCTCAAAAGGCTATGTACGAACTTCCAGAGATTCTGTAGCAACCTTGAAATATTCTGTAGCGATGTTGAGAGATTCTGTAGAAACTTCCAGAGATTCTGCACCAACATCGAGATATTCTGTAGTAATTTCGAAATATTCTATAATAACCTCGAAATATTCTGTAGCAACCTCTAACAATTCTATAGGAACCATGGAAAGATTCCGTAGCAACTGTCAGAGATTATGTAGGTAATTCCAGAGGTTCAGTAGTAATTTCGAGATTACCAATAACGACCTCCAAAGATTGTATTGCAACCTCAAAAGCCTATGTACGAACTTCCAGAGATTCTGTAGCAACTTTGAAATATTCTATGGCATCTTTCAAAGAGTAGTTTTGAAATATTTTATAGCATCCTCGATAGATTCTGTAGCAAATTTCAGAGATTATTTAGCTACTTCCAGAGAGTAATTTTGAGATATTCTATAACGACCTCAAAAATTTGTATTGCAACCTCAAGAGATTATGTAGGAACTTCCAGATATTCTACAGGAACCTTGAAAAGTTTTATAGCGATCTTAAGAAATTCTGTAGAAACTTCCAGAGATTCTGTAGCAACGTCGAGATATTCTGTAGTAATTTTGAAATATTCTATAATAACCTCGAAAAATTCTGTAGCAACCTCTAAAAATTTTATAGGAACCTGGAGAGATTCTGTAGCAACTGTCAGAGATTATGTAATTCCTAAGACTATATTGCAACCTTAAGAGATTATGCACGAACTTCCAGAGATTCTGTAGCAACCTTGAAATATTCTGTAGCAACCTTGAAATATTCTGTAGCGATGTTGAGAGATTCTGTAGAAACTTGCGGAGATTCTATAGCAAACTCTAAAAATTCTGTAACAACCTCTAAAAATTATATATGAACCTGGAGAGATTCTGTAGCAACTGTTAGAGATTATGTAGGTAATTACAGATATTCGGTAGTAATTTTGAGATAACCAATAACGACCTCCAAAGACTATTGGAACCTTAAGAGAGATTCTGTAGGAACTTGCGGAGATTCTGTAGCAACCTCGAAATATTCTGAGTAGATAGGCTATGTTCGTTCTGGCTCACAGTTCCAAAGTCACCGCTAGATGGTGCCACATATAAGAGGTGGACAATTGAAACTTGTCTAAGTGGTTTGCGACTCAGCTAAGCGATCCAAGGTAGCGGCCATCGTTTACGTGATCGTATATAGATAAAAATCCTGTGCAGTAGCAATGCCAAAAGGACCTAAACGTGTATCTTGGTTATTATTAGTCGGATTTAAACGAAAAAAACGGCATTATGCAGAAAACGCGGTATAGATTAACGTTGAAGAGAAAAATCATGCGCAATGTCAAAGTCAAAAGGGCCTAAGCTTGTATATCGGCTACTATTGGTCATATTTAAACTGAAAAAAACGACATTATGTAGAGAACATGTTAGAAATTAAGATTGAATAGAAAATGCTGCGTAGTAGCAATACCAGAAGGACCTAAGCAGTAGAACATTAAAACGCAATGTCCTTAAGAGTATAAGTCATTGCTATTGGTGCAATTCAGATAGATAAAACGAGATAATAAGAGGAAAGCTTCGCTACTATTCAAACGGGAGTCAAATTGCATGTCATTGAAATAAATATACGTTGTAGAATTGTCAAAAGGACCTTAGGTCACATACTTTGATTACTATACGAGGCAAGAGAGAGGTCCGACACGCCCAACATAGGGCGCGGCCATTTTGAACCCTGTGACACAGTTTACAGCTAAAGAATCAGATCGCTCACTCTGCGTCAGTACTTTTGATCTCAATATTTCAGTTTATACACTGTGCAACTCGGATAATACAATATATGACAACCGCCTATAATAAAAGAGCAGTCTTCTGCGTATCCTGAATTTGTATCCCTGGAGTGGATGTTATTTTGGAACTTTCAACTGGTCCGAGTGAGCTAACCACATACTTTGATTACTATACGAGGCAAGAGAGAGGTCCGACACGCCCAACATAGGGTGCGGCCATTTTGAACCCTGTGACACAGTTTACAGCTAACGAATCAGATCGCTCACTCTGCGTCGGCACTTTGGATCTCAATGTTTCAGTTTATACACTGTGCAACTCGGATAATACAATATATGACAACCGCCTATAATAAAACAGCAGTCTTCTGCGTATCCTGAATTTGTATCCCTGGAGTGGATGTTATTTTGGAACTTTCAACTGGTCCGAGTGAGCTAACTGATTCTTTAGCAATAAACTGTGACTTCAAAAATAATATTTACTGACACTGACAGCAGCAAGCAAAATATCACGTGCGTTTTAATCATCCGCTTCTGCTTCCGGAATTGTCGGTTTAGTCGTTTTAACCTGTCAGATTAAAACAAGAAAACCGACAGTTCCGAAGCAGAAGCGGATGATTAAAACGCACCTATTAAAAATATTGCGCCAAGATGTAGGCAACACGTAATAAGGGTTCAAAATGGCGGAGTTTTCTATCTCCTTTTAAAAGGCACTCAGAAAGCTGCACAGTGCGACCATTCTCCGTATAGTAAAAGAAAGTCAAAGTATGTGGAGCTAACTGATTCTTTAGCAATAAAGTGTGACTTCAAAAATAATATTCACTGACACTGACAGCAGCAAGCAAAATATCAGGTGCGTTTTAATCAGCCGCTTCTGCTTCCGGAATTGTCGGTTTAGTCGTTTTAACCTGTCAGATTAAAACAAGAAAACCGACAATTCCGAAGCAAAAGCGGATGATTAAAACGCACATATTAAAAATATTGCGCCAAGATGTAGGCAACACGTAATAAGGGTTCAAAATGGCGGAGTTTTCTATCTCCTTTTAAAAGGCACTCAGAAAGCTGCGCAGTGCGACCATTCTCCGTATAGTAAAAGAAAATCAAAGTATGTGCCTTAGGTGGACAAAAACAGACAGATGGAAAGATAGAAGGACAAAAATATAGACAGACAGAAGGAGGAGGTAAATTTATGCTCGTAGACAGATAAAGTCATAGAAATTCGTATAAATTCAATTGGCATCACATCGAGAAGAGCGTTGTCAACAATGCGATGCAGCTGTCAAAATGATAGGAAGGGGGAGCCAAAAAGACCATGGTTTCGTATTGAGAATAAGCTAGGTGACGGGTAGAAATTAAGTCAGCGTCGTTCGTTTTCGTTCATTGACGTATCGTCATTGCCATTAACATAATACTCTTCGTTTATTAACAATCTAGAAATATTCTATAGTAAGTTCTAGATATTCTATTACAACGCCGAAAGATTTCATAGTAACCAAGTAATCACTATAGATTTTGTGGCAACTGCTAGAGATTATGTACCAACTTCAAAAGACGCTGTGTAGCGTCCTTGAAAGATTCTGTAGCAACTTTTAGTGATTTTGTAACAAATTAGAGAAATTCTGTAAAACTTGATATATTCTGTATAGAAATCTTGAAACTACTATTATGAAATAATTGTTTTTCTTTCAGCTTACCGAAGACGATTTCGCCGTACCGTCAGTATTGACATCGCTGTTTCTAGGTCACAACAAGCTCACGTCTTTGAATAACTCGCTGTCGAAATTAACAAACCTCAACTTTTTAAATATCACTGTTAACCAACTGACGGAATTTTCCTTGGAAGAAATCGTGGATTTGAAAGAATTGAGAAGCATGGATTTATCGTACAATCACATTTCCCTCTTGAAAGGACCACCACCGGTAAGTAGATACCAATTTCAAATCTATGTTAATTATTTATATACGTTGACACATTACCTTTCATACTGGATAATAATAATTCGTCGCTAACATGACGAAGGGGCGTCCATCCACTGGCTTCCCTCAAACATGCTTGGGGTCCAGCCTGCTTTCCCTCCTCTTGGGGTTAGCATGGCGGCACTGAAGCCCAGATGACCTATTGTGCCACTATTTGGATTCCCTACTCCTTCCAATTCACCATACATTCATTCCGGCATCTTAGCCATAATCTTTTTAAAGTTACAAGTGAGTTACAAGAAAGTAATGAGGAACAATTTCACAAGCATTACGTAATAGTCAAAATTTGATTAAAACAACATTGAACAAAATGACAAACATTTTATTCAATTTTTATTGTGAGGACTATTTTTAATTTTCTCACCTATAACCGTCAACCCACACAGTATCACAAGCATTACATAATAGTAAAAATTTGATTAAAACAACATTGAACAAAATGGCAAACATTTTATTCAATTTTCATTGTGAGGACTATTTTTAATTTTTTTACCTATAACCGTCAACCCACACAGTATCTTTTGTTAATTTGTAACGAAAATAAAATTTGATCTCTTCCAGAATTTGGTAGACTGGAACATAAAATTGACGGAGCTTAAATTGGACCACAACGAACTCGAAACGCTGAACGGTGCATTGTCTGGGCTGACCGAACTACTAAGGTTGAATCTCAGTTTCAACAAACTCAAAAAAATATCTCCAGAAGATTTCATCGGCTTGGAAGAGTTACGGCTGCTCGACATTTCATATAACCGTTTGACGACGTTGGAAGAGACCAGTAAGGTAAGTTTGGACATTCGTTTTGGGGTGCCTCAGTGTCCAGTTTCGGACCTCCTCAAGATTAATATTTATCATAAATTTATTTCACTTTCAGACCTATCTGCCGAGATTGTCTGAACTGAAAGCCAGCCACAATTTATTGACGATTTTAGACAAGGACTTCCATGGATTGCCGGTTCTGTGTCACGCAGATCTGTCGAACAATCAAATCGTAGCTTTGGGTAGGGATTTGGTAGCAAAAACGAGATGTACCGTTGAACATGGTGTTCACGAAGGTACTTGGGATATTTTGAAAATATATCTTCAAGGTAAGAATTATTTTGAACTGAATTATAGCCTTATTCACAAAGATTTTTAAATTTATCCACATGTAAAACCTTATAGATTTAAAAATTTAATTTGTTAATGATTTGAGAAAAAATATCCTAATTTATTTGAATTTTAATAATTACTACGGAACAAAAATATTTAAATTTATATAAAAAAATCGCATTTGCTAGTACCGGTTTCAACCTACTATTCTGAGGTGGTAATATCGAAGTTTTAGCACTAGTATATTGAAGTAACTTACTTTTTATAATGTTTTAACTGAAATTACATTTGTTAAATTATATTTCACTTGCTATTTTCATTTATATTATAATAAAAAGCGATTTTTTGTCTGTTTTAACCTAACTTTTAGAATCATTTCACTATTTCCTTCCACAAAACATTAAACAAATTAATTCATGTTGCCAAACACTTGAATATAAAATCACTATCTAAAAGTTGGTATTCGATAAAGTGTAGCAGGAAAATACATATTTTGTTTTCAATTTTCTCATTTTATGTATAATTTTTTCGCGAAGCTACTCGCGATGTCTCCAGGCCGCACAGGTTAGGTAAATTAGTTAATATTGGTTTAATTTTTCTTATTTTATGTATATTTTTTTGGGAAGCAACCCACGATGTCTCCAGGCCGCACATATTAGGTAAATTAGTTAATATTTGCAGAAATGGTCTTCCTCCATTACACCTTGTGGTGGAGAAGGAGGCTATGACGGCGGCATACAGGCTGTTCATCACTAATGGATTTGGATGGGAACTTTCGAGAAAAGGACACCATGCAATGATATTAGAGAAATTAAAACAAAATAATGTGTTAAGAATGCCATCGGATAGAACGCCTATTATTTATGACTTTGGAAAACCATTCGATATTCAAATACCAGAAAGGGCCAAAAGTCGGGAAAATAGGGAAATATAAAACGAATCAATCTGATATACAGACGGTTCGAAAATGAGAAATTGGAGCTGGGATTTACCATGTGAAAACCATTAGTCTGAACCTGTGGTCACTGTTAACAGTCTTCCAGGCTAAAGTAACAGCAATAAATGCCTGCACCAAAGTTATGCTAAATTACTCTTGTAGAGATAAGAGGGTCTTTATCATGACAAGACAGTCAGGCAGCTCTTAAAGTACTGAAAAGGGAAAGTACAATCTAAATTAATACTTGATTACCAACGGTCCCTGGCAAAGTCACTTATGAATGGGTGCCGGGACATGAGGGAGTGTTTGGAAACAAGAAACAGACCTCTTAGCCAGAAAGGTAGATGAAAAACAGAACCCACATGTGGTATGGACTGCCTGGACTTAGAAAGTCAAAAATATTCATAGATGGTCCATCCAAGAGTAGACAAAATCAACTGCTAAAACTTAGCAGAAGCGAACTAAAGGTCGTAGTACTAGGATTATTTACAGGACACAGCGGCATTAGAAGATATAGGTCATTCACTGAATTTACACCCATATCGGATTAAGAAATAAATGAAAGATTTGACTGGTCAGTTGTATTTTAAACATTTACTTATTGGTGGCGTTATTTTGTATATTGCAAGGGGTTCTTATAGAAACAAAATAAATATAAATTTTAGGTATTTAATTTTGCCTCAGAAAGCTTAAAAGAGATAGTTACATGATTTTGTTGTTTAATAATAGTTTATTCTGAACAAAAATTTTAATTTACATAGACAGTTTTACCTTGCGATTAAGTAAGTACGATGATTAAAAATAACATAACTTTTAAAATTCTATATTAAACAGTGATTATTATAAATAATTGTCTTTTGACATACCTATAAATCTTCAGCATCACTCTCAAAATTTGTGTCACTAGCGTCGCTGTCATCATTAAGGGATATAATTATAGGGTTAATTTCGTTTATCCTGTTTTTACGTGTCCACCAGTCGTCAATTAATTTATCACATTTTTGAACACTTTTATGCCAAATTTCTAGGGTTGATGTATCCAATGCTTGTTTCCATATTTCCCTTACTGCTTCGTCGCTGTAACCATTAATTCCAATATGATTGTCATAATACGTTTTACATATACCCAAAATGTGTTCGATGGGGTTAAACTGACAATGGTACGGTGGAAGCCGTAACACATCATGTCCATAACTATGTATGACTTGATTTACCATATACATTTGTGGTGATTCATACCGTTTGGCTAAAGTTAACAACTCAGATTTTGTGGAAATGCAACATTTTCGTTACGTAGCCATTCTTATATTTTGGCTACAATTCTGTCTTGGCGGTTTGTTTAAAAGTTCTCGCATTATCTAACACTATAACAGACGGTTCACTTAAATTTGATTTAGAGGAAAATATTAATCCTGCACCATCCACAAATCCATTCTTTCCACCTGCGTGCAAGATTTTGTGTCGCTTTGCCTCACCATTAGTATGTTTTATTGATTTTATATTTTCATCTTGCCATATTTTTTTCGTCCCACCTTTGGAAAATATCCAAGTTTCATCCAAATATATAAACGAAGCTCCATTCTCTTTTAAAAGAGTGTATCGTCTTAAAAAATGTATTCTTTTGTGAACAACATTATTTTTTTCACATAAAGCTTTTCTATTATCTTCTTTCTTAAATTTGAAACCTATTTCCTTAAGCAACTTCCAAAGACTTGTTCTGCCAAATTCACAAATTTGTATTTCTCTTAATGTGTCTAAGTTGACATGTTCCTTTTTCGCACGCATTTTATACACCATATCACGAATACGAAATTTTGTCCCACCAGATATATCCGACGTTTTCAGTTTTTTGCGAGGTGTGTATTTTTTCTTTTTTTTTGCTCTCTCCGCTTTTGACGTTTTTCAAAACATATTTTAATTTTGAATCACTAATACCGAGAGCTGTACAGACGCGTTCATTCACACTCACTACTGGCTTTAAAGGTCCTCTGTTATCTTTTTCCGCCGTAAAATACTTATGTAGATTACAAATTAATTCATCTACACGTAACACGCGCTTCGGCATTTTCAGTTTCGACATACGTTCTCTTTGAAATCCAAAACTGAACTAAATTTAGCGCAATTAGTCCTATAACATCAGTATAAAAATAGAACATTTAATCTTAATTTTATACCTGAGAAGAGGACTTTCGGAAATTCCTGACCATAAAGGGTTTATTGTATTCTGGGAAAATGGTATTACCATAAACAATGTCCAAAATAAAATTATAAATATTTTCATTTTTTCGTGTATTACTTTAGTAATTTAATTTTAATAAACATAACATAACTCAACTACCTGATGCGAAATTATCCTGTAGACCGGCTCAGTTGTGCATCTGTTTCTTAATCCGATATGGGTGTAAATTCAGTGAATGACCTGTACCTAAATCTGTTAGGGATATCTGACGACTCCATATGTAGAATACATTAAGAGGATGGCGAAACTGCTATTCACATACTATGCCACTGTCGGAACCTTAAATGGGAACGGCACTGGCACTTCGGGGTACAATATACGGAACCTGAAGAAATCGCGAAAGCGTACATCAGACATATTCTTGAAGAAACTGTGAGGGGTACAATAAGCCTGAAGATTCAGTACGAGTGGGCTTTGAACCACTTCTTAATTTATATAGATATATGTTCTACATATTACACTTGTGCAGGCGAACTGTCGAATTCACCAAATATATTTTTTATTTCAGACAACCCCATACTTTGCGACGCTGCCTTGCCAGACATCACTTCAATAATGGAAACAAATCACACCAGAATATACGGCGTATCGCATTGCCCACCCTTAAACGAACAACCCACAACTTCCAAACCCAACGCGTACTTGGGATACATCCCGGAACTGAACCCGAGACTACGCCTGCCGATAATTCCAAAATCCAACAGGCTGGATTACCAAAACGAACAAGAAATACACACCAGTGTCAGTACGAAAAACAACGTACAGGACGTTAACGTTAATCCCGAACCAACGTTAGCGGCTAAATTACATTACAAAGTTGAAAGCAACGATCCCAGCATCGTAGAAGATACCTCGACGAAAAAAGACATCCCTCTGAACGTCGAACCCAATACGGTCGAAGTACAACCAAGTATTAGCAATAACAGTATAAGCCAGGCTAACGATACTACTGTTAGAACGGGAAATGACAGTACTGTCGCATTTGATCCTGTCAAACAGGGCCAACAGATCAACAAGCTGGCGTCCGAAATCGAAGAACTTCGAACGAGATTAGATCAATTGTCCAACCAAAATCAGATGTTGTTGAACACGAAATTCAACAAAGACGAAACATTATCGGAACTTCAAAAGCCTTGAGAGGAGTTTTAACGCATTGATCGCCACGTAGTTTTTTTTTTTAAACTTTTTTTTGTTTATATTGTACAAAATCCGGTGATGGAAAAAAGGGCACGTTTTGAATTATCAAACTGTTAATTTTACTCCAAGATCAATTATCTTTTTTGAACCAATTTGGTACCGGTTATTTTTGCAGGATGTTGCGCTGACATTTTCGTTCTTTTATGTATGTTTCTTGTTTTTCCCGGTCTTAGAGTCTCAAATTAATCATTCACTGCAATTTACACTATCTTTAGCATAGTATTATACATAGTGTGCGGTAAATAGACCATTACCGCACTCACAACAGTTTGCAATAGAGCTGTTTTTCGCACCACCCCACTATTATTTTGCAATGATTCCTCTTTGTAACAGTATGTTTTCGTAATTATTCCAATTTTCATGCAGTATCAATTTTTTAAATCCTTTCACAAAAAATCAGTAGTTACTACAAAAAAACCAATATCTTGCAAATATTAACTCGTATCTATATAGGTCTTTTTTTACTAAAGTATTTTATACTTTTCAAATGGAACAACCGATGGATTTCTTAATTGTCAAAAATTCTTACAGTTTTGTAATACAAAGAATTAAACAGTTAACCAAAATTGCTTCCATTTCATGGGATATTTTTTATGGTTATTTTACTGATTTTTAAATAGTTTATGCAACGAAAAGAGGCTTTAAATCGGGCCCTTGAGGCACTTCCGATTCAAAAAAATAGATATTTAGATTCTGACCAACCCCTTAATATATTTTAAAATACCAGGCCTATAAAAGGATCGAATTTTGAAGATTGTGAAATTTGTGAGGGTTGTCCCATTTCAGAAAAACTCACGGTAGTCAATGTGCTAAAACTGAAACAATATTTTTTTTACAAGTAATTTTGCTAGTCACTTAAATGCTAATTCTACTTAGATCTTTGTTAAGAAGTTATACAGTATGGCTTCAATTCGCTTTCAAAAAGTGCCTTTGATGTAGTTAATTAAAGGAAAATGATGTTGCATCGATTCTAGAGCTTTTTGTATTTGGTGCAAATATACAGGGTAATTATGTGGCATGCTGTTTATCTTATACATAACATGTCATAATACCCTTTATATAATTTTATATAAAGAAAAAATTAACAAATTAACTAAACATAGAAATTTAGACCCATATTTGGGTGGAGTATCCTCTAGAATTAGTATTTATCAATTAGGAAAAAATAGAAATGGACTAATGACTAATAATCATTCCCGATTTTTAATAATTAAATTTGACGTATTTTTTAAATTTAATTAGTACCTATATTTTATGTTTTTCTCCATTTCTAAACCAAATATAAACGTATCTAAAAAGTACCTGTACTTGTATATACTTTATTTCAAAAAATACAGAATGTTCTAATATCTACCAACCCAAATTGCAATATATATAGTATGTTAACCTAGCAATCCTGACAAAATAAAGATTACATTTGGACATAAAAAAAATAAAGAGAAACTTATTTAACTATGCCCTTTCGATGATAAGGAAGACATTGCTGCCTGCACTCAGCGATCTATAGCACAGCATAAATTTCAGTACTCCAAAAACTGTTGTTAAAGATGGTGAAAGTTATGTAGTTATCAGTAATATCTATCAGTTTTTACTAGAAAGTACCTAAATATCAATGGTATTCAATTAGGTATTTTAAAAAATAAAATGAATTCTAAAATAAAATAGTGGGATAACAGGTAGCTCTATTTTTCTCTATTTATTGCTACTGTATTTCTAGACCATTTTCTCCAATATTCAGGATTCTAAACATAACACACTATATATTTAATTTTTGATTTTTTATATTGGACACTTTGTATTGTTGAAAAAAATCAAAATGGCACTCTGTTAGCACCCTCTACATATTTACTGTATTACAAAACAATTTTTATTCTAATTTAACAAGGAATATAAAAAACAAGATTAATGTGATATTTTAAGTGAATTTAATTATAACAAGTGTGCCATATTTTACAAATATAAACTATTTTTTTAAGATTTAATTAAGTACTATATATATTTTTTGTAAATATGTTGGACTAACTAAATAGCTTGTTAGGTTGTAGAATTTTCTTAAGAAAATGTATTTTATAATAGTTATGTATTAAAAAAATGTTATAAATGTAAAAATAAAGTAATTTAGACAATATTTTGGTCTATTTATCATTTGGTTTCTTCGTATTTACCTAAACAGCACAACATCGTGCCTATTACAATAAGAATTGCTCCTATAAAAGTGCCTAAAAACAAACATATTACGAGAAGTTTTACTTACATTCAAATTGTGTTTTTACCTGGTTTAGGCAATTCTTTTTCAATAAACCAGCCAGAAATTGCAGTGAACACAAATGACAAAGAATTAGCTACAGGGACAGCAAGAGTAATATCAGCATTCGTAAGAGTCAGATAATATATTACTGATCCTAACTGGTTGAGCAACATAGGGAATAAATACTAAAAATCCTGTTTAAATTTAACTAGAAGTGAATTTTTAAATAAAATACAATGCATTATCTAAAAATTACCTACCCGTGTATTGGTCGCTAGAAATTTTATTTCTAAAATAAATTGAAGAATTTTTGAGTCTGCCTTAACTTTAACGATATCTTGCGAGTTCTTTTTGATTAACGGATTTGTTCCTCCCCACAAAATACCTACTCCCACTAAACTTATTATTTGTAAAAACATGGTTTCAATTCAACAAGCAGATAAAATAATTTTCAAATAAAAAACATAATTCAAACAAAACAGTCCAAAAATAGGTTAGGTGGTCGTGCGCCAAACGCCAAAGAAGAAAAACACAATTATAAAAAAGAAGAATGGTTTCTTAGCTGAAAGGTCTAACTGTGAAAGAGCTTAAAAAAAGAATTTAATGGCCTTCTATAATTTAGGAAAGGGAACATTTTTCTTTGACGTTATATACTATAAACAATGAAGGCCAATCAAAGAAAGATTGCACTCTTGCAACATAGGACAATCACGTACAATTAAAATTAAAATATCCAAAACACAATTTTACAAATAAATTTAAATATTTTTTATTTCGTAGCGTTAATAATTTATCGTAATTTAGTATAAATTATATTAATTACTATTTAATATTCACAAAAATAGTAATTACGTTATTACGGTAGGTTTTTTGAAAGGTAAAAAAGAAGAAAATTTTGACATTGACATTGAATGATAATTTCCAGTTCCCGCTCAATTTGTATTTGTGGACAAAAACTGGCAAAAACGAAAAAACATTTGTGGTTACAATCGTTTTTATTGTGAGTTATTTGATTCGTGTAATTAATAAAACTATTAAATAGTATCAAAATGGCTAGAAGAGACTATGATAAAGATAAAGGTAAGTTAAATTGGAAACTATACTTGCTTATATTTAATATAAAATTATTTTTATACCAGAACAATTGAAGACATTCCTTTTGGAGTACTGCATAACTGACAACTCTGGTAACAAGAATTTTAAGTACTCCAATCAATTGACGAAATTAGCACATCGAGAACAAGTCGGGTTTTGGATAGAACTGGATGATGTGAATGATTTTGATGATGATCTAGCCAAAGCCATTCAGTTAAATACCCGTCGATATAGCAATTTGGTTGCCGATATTGTTTTCGAGCTGCTACCAACGTTCGTGCAGAAAGATGTGGTGGCTAAAGATGCTCTGGATGTTTATATAGAACATCGTCTAATGATGGAAAACAGATTAAGACAACCAAATGAACAGCATGATGCTAGGAATAAATTTCCAACAGAACTTATGAGGCGATAGTAAGTAATTGATAAATATATGATTTATTTGAAAGATTCGGTAATTTAATATGATAAAAGGCAATACAACATTGTAATATAATTGTTTTAAATTGGTTATTCAGTGTACAAAAATGTATAGCAAAAACATTTAAGTAGGTATAAGTTAATTAAATTTCGCTTCCAAATATAGGTAGGTAGTTAATACATTAATAGTTCCTTGGCATTTAGGATACCTATTAGATTTGTATTCATTTTAAGTAGCATTAGGCTTGTTTTGGTTCTTTCAGGAACTAATTCAGAATCAGTGAATTACACTCATTCAGCTCAATACGTTCTCATTGCGATGTATTCTTGAAAAATGAATTCGTCAGCTCTATTTGAGGACTGGAATTGGCGGTTCTGTTTGAACCAAAACAATCCCCTTTGTAATTTTGCATTCTGACAATGCTGGCTGAAAACCTAGTAAGTCGTAGACCTTTTAGTTAAAATTAGAAGAATTTTAAACGTTACGTGACAGTTACATAACCTCTAACCTCACATTCAAGAGGGAAATAATGATAAAACGAAAATAAACCAACTAATTTAATTTAAATTGACTTGCATTATGAATCAAGTTCAACGGTGCGCTAAATTAAAAGAAGTTCCCAAACGACTAGCGCGATCGAGAAGCGGAGCTGTATTCCTGTTGGACAAACACCTAGAAACTCCTGTTGTAGTTATTCACGAACAAGATGATGTTGAAGTAATCGGTCCTCCGGACGAAATATCGAACCTTCGACCGATATTAAGGAAAAAATTGCTCAATGAATCCCTTTTGCAGACGAGATTAAGACGCTTACAGGATGCAACGCAGGATTGGAACCAGATATTTTGGACAAGGCACAATAAGCGGTTCTTACAAGAAAAAGCAAATTATATTGAGACTGCTCTACAAGATCTCCAAAAATCGCAACTTACGGCAGATGAAATGAGTAGTTTTTACAAGAAATATTTAGATGAGAATTGGCGTACTCATTTGGCGTACAATAAAGAATGGTACAAGAAGAATTCTGTTATATTACTCCTTGCTATGGCAGTTGGTGTTGAAAAAAATATTGGAGTATTAATGAATAAGATCAAAGGTTTATTTAATTTGTAATAGTTCAATTTTATTGTGATAATAGTGAAATAAAGGTATTAATTGTTTGGTGTATTTTAATCAATCATAAAAGGGGGCGGGCAGCTTTAAAAAAATAGGTTATAATATGTGGGGGGCGGGCCCTTGTCAGTGTTTTGCTCCGGGGCCCCACCATGGCTCTCAGTGGTCCTGATAGTTTTAAAGTTCCTAATATTGAAGGAGTCGAACCTGAAATAGGTTAACAAAATAAAAATGTGTCTTGACAGCAAGAGATTTAGAAAGACCATGGATATTTAAACTATGCATTGGACATTTCAGAATATACGAGTAGTTCTAAAAAAAATGTTAATAGTTTTCAGCAAATACAAATTCTTTTTGAATTCATTGAAAAATGTAAAATCTTTGTTGTTATATGTCAAGGAACTGAATTGGAGAAGGGTCATGAACTGGAAGGCCCACTTTTAAAACTTATACAGGGTTATTTCAGGGAAATCCAATGATGATTTTTCCGAATTCATATGAATTTATTTATATAAATGGGATCAACCCCATTACAAAGTAAAACACATATAAATTATACAGATAATGGTAAATTAAAGAATACAAGTAAGATTCGAAGTAAGAGAAAAAAAATTAAGTCAAATAAGTTTTAGATTAACAAATGCATTTTAAGTAGTGTTAATCCATCTGTAATATTTCATTTTTACTCCAGTGTGTTTGCACAGATTGCCTTAAATTTATTAAAAGAACTGCCTGTAACCTAAAGATTCAATTGATTTACTACCCTCAATGTTCTTTCAATAGGTAAATGCATGTCATAGTTTGTATTGTGAAATGGAACACAGAACATATTTAATTGCCTAAGCACTCTATTAGGAATATTGAAAGAAATCATTTCTAAGAGTTCCAGGCATGTGACTAGTCCATTTAATAATAATCTATAGATAAAATTCAAATCTGATATGTCTCCTGTACTTAAGTCAGCTCATATTCATTTCATTTAAAATCCTAGTATAATTGTGATCAGTTACCCAAATATTTAATTTAAAGGCACAGATCTTAGAAATTTATTTTGTATTCTTTCCATTACTAGACAGTGTATATGATATTGTGGCGAACAAATTATAGAAGCATTCTCCAACTGAGGTACAACCAATGTTTGATAAACTCTTTATGGCTTCTAGAGAGAAATCAGAACAGTTATGCAATATTAACCCTATGCATTGGGATGATTTTATTGAGATTGAATTTATATGTTCAATAAATCATAATTGTTCATCTAAAATAACTCCTAATTCTTTGACACAAGATTTCCGAAATACAGGTACGTTTTAAACTTAGTGGTTTATCCCTTGAATCAAACTAAACATACCAAAATTAAACACCTTTTACGACAAAGACAGATATACACTTAGAACAACATGTTTTTTTATAAATAAATACATATGTAAGAAAGAAAAATAAACAATTACACAGTTTTATTAATCACTTAAACCAACCATTGTATTCCATTGAACAAAATAGGTACAAGTAAACACATATATAAATACAATTTAAATGTTAAAAAAAAGTCTGGTTAATTGATCCCTGCCAAAGCAAAAAAAAAGTAAAGCAATGAAAAAGCAACAAGCAATTACCTGACAGTAGATCAAGATATCTCCCATGACTGTCATTTTAATGGATTTGTTTTATATTAATTGTCATAAGTTGATTATTAATATTTTTAGCAACCCATTTTCTTGAAAACAAAAAATATATGAATATTTATATATACTGGACTATGTTGTCGTGATAGATATTAGGTTTTTTATGTTTTAAATAAGGATTTAAACTCATGCCTTTTTGAATTCTTTCTTAATAAGGAGAAAAAGCGAGAAAATCGAATTTTTAGATTTTTGAGCCGTAAGCCCCAATGGTTTTTTAAATGTTTAAAATAATACATTTACTTAATTTGTAAAGGGACTTTTTGGATTTTTCGGTCATTTTGTATTGTACATACATTATGCTTTATAGTATTAATAATAATAGAAAAGAGACAAAATAATAATAATGATATAAAAAAATACATAATATAAACAACAGTATCAATAATAATAATAAAAATAATAATAACAGCCACAATAATAGGCTAATGGCCGTAGTAGTCGACGCCGACACCAATTAAAAAAAAAAACAGCCACAATAATAGTATTAACGATCGTTAAATTTACTATGTTTAAAGAACGTTAGATTATATCTTTGAATAAACGTGTGTGAATTCATCCATAAGAAGCCAAAAAGACTGTGCATGGACGAATATGATTTCATGATTTTTATACACAAAATTAACCTAGCTATTTTAACATATATGTTATTAAAAATTAGTAAAAACGCGACAGTAAAAAAGAACATTATTAGAGGCCAAAATTAAAAAAATAAAAAATATTTATTAGAGACTTAACAAGTGGTGAACATTTTCTCTTCCTAGGTTTATAATGTTTGTTTTAAAACGTTTTTTTAATGAATTCTAATGAGTTTATATTGAGATGGTACATTTTATATGATTTGGGGAGACCATTGAATACTTTACTCATTTGGTGTGCATATGTTCAGATACTAACATTTCTTCTTAAAAATTGTGTCTGTACATTAAGATTTTCTCTATATCTTGTTTTGTGATGGTGATTTACAAGTTGTAAACATTCTTTGTTTTTATAAATAAAAATAATTATTTGATGCATAAATAACTGTCTAATATCAAGTATTCCTGCTTCCGAAAAAAGAAGTTTGGACGAGTATGTAAGTTTCTTCCTTAATATTATTTTTAAAAACCGTTTCTGAAGTACATCTAACTTTTTTATGTAACAAAAGGCAGCTCCTCCCCAATTAAGAATCGAATATCTTAACTTAGATTTGATCAGGGCAAAATAAGTAGTTTTGAGATGACAAGGATCTATAATATTTTTAAAATATCTAAATTTGTACAATAATGTCCTTAGAACTTTAACTATATATTCAATATGAATGTCCAATCTAAGATGACAATCTATATGCAGTCCAAGAACATTTTTTTAGCGGTAATGTCCACTTTAGAATTTGATCTTTTTACTGTTAATATATCATAATTAGGTACTAATTAGGTACTAACATTGTTAGAAAAGTTTTTTCGAAATAAATCTAGTATATTTTTTAAATCATTTTCATTTTTACTTTCCTATCTGTATACAGATATATAAGGAAAGTATAGGAATCATGATTTTTTCGACCTCGAGTTTTCGATGGATTTTTACGTTTTGAGGTCCCCTGAATCCGTTTTGACTATTTTCGCGATGATTTCTGTGTGTGTGTCTGTGTGTCGCATAACTCATGAACCGATACACGGAAAAACACCAAATTTCAAACTTAAGCTTTGTTCCAGCGTCTAATGAGCTTATTAGATTTTGGGCAGAGTCGGAACATCTGGAGGGGTACTTTATAAGTGGTCATTTTTATATTTTATGGAATATATCTGTTATTTACGTTTGGGGAAGAAAATTCTTCAAATAAAAGTTATTTCTTATATTATTATCTATAATTTTTGTTCTATACAAAATTTTCCTAAAATGGTCCGTATTCGACAAATTTGACAAAATGTAAAAAAATATTTTTTTATAAAAATTGTTCAAACAAAAAGTTGTTTGTAATATAATTTTCTATAATTTTTATCCTATACATAATTTCTCTAAAATGGTTCGTATTCGAGATATTTGAGAAAATGTGTAAATTTCGAAATTTGAAGAAAACTCCAAAACGGATAAAGAAAAAACATTAAATTTTAAACTTAAATTTTATTTCGGCCTGACGTGAAATTATTAGAGATTTTGGACAAAGTCGGAACATCTGGGGGGGGGGTACTTTATGGGAGGCCGTTTTTATATTTTATGGAATATATCTGTTATTTATGTTTGGAGAAAAAAAGTTACTTCTATTATTATCTATAATTTTTGGTTTATGTAAAAATTTCCTGAAATGGTCCGTATTCGAGAAATTTGACAAAATGTGCAAAATTCTGATTTTTATGAAAATTGTTGAAATAAAAGTTTTTTGCGATATCGATCTCTATAATTTTTTTCATACATGATTTTTCTAAAATGGACCGTAATGGAAAAATTGTAGGAAAAGTGCTAAATTTAAATTTTTCAGCATTTTCGTTTTCAATGAATATCTATAGAAAAATGTTTTGAGGTAGGAAAATGTATATATTTAGTTTATCCTCCTCTAAACTATTATAGAGGTGCTGCAATAGGTTGTACAAAATAACCGGAAAGAGCCTGTAATAACTAGATAGGAAAGTCATGTGTTGGACACATCAGATTTTTTTTTTAAATTTGTCTAGGTATTATCATAGTAAGCAATTGCCATATCATCTGCAAATCTTATCAATCTACCCGCACTTGAATAAGTAAGAATACTGTTGAGATAAATAATAAAGAGGATGGTACCTAACATAGTACCTTGTGGTACACCAAATTTAATACATTTTCTATCACTTAAAATGTTCTTGATTTTTACTGTTTGAGTTCTATTTAATAAATAATTTGTAAAAAGTTTATTTGGTTCACCTCGAATTCCTATATCATCCAGTGCCTCCAACAATTGCGTATGAGAAACTGTATCGAAGGCCTTAGCCAGATCCAGAAACACGCACAAGGTAGGTTTGCTAATTTCTAGGGAGTTTGTAACTTCCTGTAACAATTCTGAAATAGCATCTGTTGTCGAGATCTCTTCTTGGAATCTAAACTGGTTGTTGCTTATCATTTTATTACTTTTAAGAAGTTTAAACATTTGTTTTTCTCCGTTTTTTATAGATTGGTGGTATTATTGCAGTTTTGAACTCTTGAGGGATAAGTACAAGAAGTTATCAAAATTGAATTAATTAAATGAACTAGAGGAGAAGCAATAAACAGGTGCAATATTTTTTAAGATTTCAGATTTTATACCATCAATCCCTGCAGCTTTTTTAGACTTTAAAGATTTTTATTAATTCAATAACTTTAGGTTCTGTGACAGGTGCTAGGAAAAACGATCTTTGACATTTTTTTGCAGACTCAGGTAATTAGAGGGAGGCTCGATTTCATTAGCGTATCTCTTACCAACATTAATAAAAAAATTATTTGTGGTCAATTCATTATTAGAATTTTTAATTTCTTTTATTTTATTTTGATCGTTAGTAAAAGATTTATTTTTTATTATTTTCTACAGTTTTTTTGAAGAATTCTTGTTACTATCAATCATTTTTTTATAGTACCTATATTTTGTTATTTTAATGATTTTTTCTAATTTTCTTTTAAAATCAATGTATCTATTTTTTTTTTAATCATTTGTTGGTCCTGTTTGATATTTTATATAATTTATTTTTTTTTTGTTTATAGAATTTACTAAGCCGTTCGTGATCCAACCCTTACGTTTAATATTACTATTCTTAATTATTTTAGTATTTTTGTGTTTCTCTATGAAAAAGTTTGTCTAAAAATTTTTTTGTTAAAGTAGTTGGATCGTTAATGTTATTAAATTCATTCCAGTTATATTTCTCCAGGTCATTTTTTAATCTAGTATAACCTATGTAAATAATATGTTTTTTAGAATTAGGTTGAGATTGAGAGTTCATTATATTTAGTATACACAAAATAGTTGCTTTATGATCAGTAATAAAATTATCAACAATACTAGAAATGCATTCTTCCGCAATGTTATTTTTACTTGTTTTTAAAAATATGTGGTCAACACACGTTTTAGTATTACCCTGTACCCTTGTTGGCCTATTTATCATAGAAATACAATTATGTTCACTTAGGATGTCCATATAGGAGGATGTGTTTTCATTTTCTTATATGTTTATTATTAGTGTTCATGGTTTTTGTTTGTTCAAGGTAATCTTGGACGGCATTAATAAATCTTAATTCGTCAGTAGAGGGTGTCATTGTATATCATATAATTTTCTAGATAAAACAAATTAATATCTGAAATTTTGAATGCCTCTGTTAGTGTATAATGCAATCATGCTCAAAAAATATTTGGCTGAGATATACTTTTAATTCGTCAACATTTTTTCTTGTTGACCAGTACCTATTATAATCATCTGAATGAGAAAATTTACAGAACTTAGTTGAATAAAAGAAGAGAAAATGAAACAAAAGAAAAATGGAAATGTATCAGTGAGAAGATATTTTATGTTACTAATATTACGTTTTTTCTTTTAAATAGTGCCCTTCTGCACATTCTAATTTTGGATTACTTCCAGTTTTAGAATCTCCAAAATATTAGTTTCCAATAAAAAAACAATTTAGCTTGTGAAACTCAGCCCCTCATAGAATTAATTTCTAGAGCGGTTTTGTTACAAATAGCATCATACTATTAACCATTTTCAGTGAGATATACTTCCAAAACTTGACGACAAACAAAGCGGTGCCAATTAGAGAGATTAAGGCTGAAAACATCGGTACTTTAGTAACCGTCAGGGGCATAGTCACTCGTTGCACCGAAGTAAAACCCATGATGTGCGTCGCGACGTATACTTGCGACCAATGCGGCGCCGAAACCTACCAACCCATCAACGCTCTAAGTTTTATGCCTATCGATATGTGCCAAAGCGACGACTGCAAAACCAACAAGTCAGGCGGTCGGCTGTATTTACAAACCAGAGGATCGAAATTCGTAAAATTCCAAGAAGTTAAGATACAAGAACAAGTAGGTTTTGAAATTGAACCAATTAGGATACTATTTTAAGCAAAAATTTGTGTTTTAGAGTGATCAAGTACCAGTCGGACATATTCCACGTACTTTAACGATATTTTGTCGTGGTGAAGTTACAAGAATGGCTTTACCGGGCGACCACATTGCCGTTACTGGCGTATTTTTACCTTTAATCAAACAAGGATTCAAACAAATAATGGGCGGACTTTTATCCGAAACATATTTGGAAGCTCACGTAAGGTTTCAACTTTTTTTTTTAGTTTATAGGTTTTAGTATAGGTGGGTTGATCATTAATATGGCTAAATTTTCATGAAAACTTTAGGTAACATATTGTGTAGTAGTCCGTCTGCAACCGTGCGTATATCGTTTACGTTTTACATTATAAAAAATTGTTTACAATTTAAAAAATGTGCCACCCATTGATTTATTATCTCTCCGATCGATAGATAATAATTTTTTATATACCCGGCTATATACTTTTTCTCTTGTATATAAAACTTTTTAGGGGAAGCAAAAGCGATACTAGCGCTAGCTGCGGATAATTCGTGCATTTTAGGGCTGTTTTGTAATTTTGGCATATCAACTACACGTTCACGTTTGACTTTTTAAAAAAAAAAATAGGTAATAACAATACAATAAGCAACCGGAGTAGCTGTGTTGTAAATTGTAAAAATATTAGCAAAAAAAAACCAGCGTAAATTATAAAAAATTTCAGTAGCAAAGTGGAAATTAAATCAAAGAAATAAATGGATAGCTGTACAATAATAAGAAAAATTCCCTTTATTTTTGTAATAATAACAGTAATACTGGAAATAGCAGTAGACATCAGTAACTTGAAAGGTTTTAAATAAATTATCATTTTACGATGTTCTTCAACATCCCTTTAATCTTAAGTGTTCAGCAAGAACTAGATTTCTGCCTTTAATTATTGTATGTGGCTGGATTGCAATTTTGTGACTTACTGATAGGAAATCAGTTTTAATCATTCATTTTATGTTTTTTTTTCAAACAAAAATGAAAATATAAATAACAATCCTTTTGTTTATACATTTTAACTTCACGCTATTATTTTTTTATTTTGACAGAATAGGTTAATTCATTAAAGACAACTTATTGGACTTGAGCAACTTCTCATACATTTTCCCGTAAATACTGTTGCCTGCCTATATTTTATTATTGATTTTTACTGATTATACTTAGGTTTTTTTTTAGTTTAGACGATAAATATATAATAATAAATTAATGTTTCACTTGTTTTACAAATCCATATACTTTTATTAAAACTAACATACATATATACTTTTTTCTACACCCGTATTATAATAATGCACTTATATGCCCATAATCCGTTTCATAATGATACCCATTATGATACAGATTTTTCATTACGATACAGATTTTTAATCAATAGAAACCTACAATTTTTCAATCAAGCATGCTGTTTGACGTTTGTCCTAGGTTCCTATGTAATTATTTTAGTTGTCAAAACGTATTAAATTTTCGTAGGTAGCTAAACTTCGATAATTATAATATTAAAATGTCTGATATTAGCGATATAGAAGACTCCTCCACACATATCGGAGAAAGCAGAAAATACAGTACAAAATATTTTACCGCAAAAATCTAGGGAAATACCAATACCTGAAGTAATACCATTAATTACAATTTTGTAGAATTTTTTATAGAAATACGAGTAATTACTGTTATTGTGTTCAATACCAATATAAATATAATATTTATAGGTCTTGATTATTTATCGGGTGTAGAAAAAATAGCGTATGCAACTCTCATGTAATGGTTATTAAAACACTCGCATAAACCATACGAAACTCGCCTTTGGCTCGTTTCGTATCCCGGTTAATGCTCGTGTATTAATAACCATCATTACATGATCGTTGCATAATATACTATTTATTTACGAATTCTATTAAACAGTGTATTAGTATTCACAAAAATAGTCTATTAGTACATAAATGAATTGGCGCTGCTGTCACGCACGGAGCGAATAAGCTTATTACAACATACTTGGTATTGTGGTATCTGCCACACATACCGTGGTAATCCTATTATTGAATGTCATATGCCAAATTTAATTTAAGTTTGAGGATTTCTAAACAAAATTTGAATTTTAGAAATTTTAAGATGATCTGATTTTGTTATTTTTTATTATAGCATGTATAAAGAAATGTCTGTTAGATATAGCTACATATGCTTTGGTAACATAATACATCATCAGAGTAACCAAACCTTACAAAATAAATGCTCTGGTAACATAAGTAAGTTTTAGTAAGTTATGGTAAGCTTATAAAGAAATGCCTTTAAGTCTGAATACACATTGTTGTTAACGACGCTTTTGATCCAGTAGGTCTTTCGTGAACTTGGCCGATGGGTCCTTGATGAACTGTTTGGCCTGTTTCAGTCTTGGATAGTTGTTCCACCATTCCTGAGACTCTTGTTGCATCCATTGTTTGATGGATGCCTTGCACAATAACTTAGCAATTTCACAGAAAGGTTCAAGGCCTATCATGGCCTTATCTGAGCCTTGGGCTAATTCATCGGCCTTTTCGTTGCCCTGATGTCCCTCATGACCTGGCACCCAGGCTAAGATCACCTTGTTTTGACTACTTATCTCTGCCAGGTCTTCTAGGCAGTATTTCACCAATCGTGATTTGATTTCTGATGAGAAAATTGTCTTTAAAACTGCTTGGCTATCAGAGTATCTGGCAATAGTTTTGCCTGATATTTTAGTATTTATCTTGCACAGTGTTATATGCCTGGAACACTGTTGCATATTTTCCTAGACTAAGATAAATCATTGTTTTCGACTTGGGTCCATAGATTCCAGCACGCCAAGGTCTTCAATTAAATTATGCGGTCAAAAAGATTTCTAGAATAACGTATTTAATTGTCAGATAAGACCGAATAATAAAAATTTAATTTTAAAAAATACATGTTTGGGGCATTCTTACACCCCCTTCTGTCTGACAATTTTTATAGTTATTCATATACTTTAATAAAAGCAAAATACAAAGTTTCAACCTACTTGCAATAATAAAAAATTTCGCCTACTATTGTACGACTTTAGGGTGATTTTACACCCCTTTCTGCCTATCCTCCTATCGAAACGTTCGAAATGACAATTAATTACCCCTATGGGAACCTTTTTGCAAATTTTTAGCCTACTTAGAGTAATGACGCGAAATGTTCACTAGCTCTTAGACTATAAGTTAATGGTTACATTGTATGCAGATACTTGCGAGTTTTTAGTCGTGCGATGTCGAACGTAAAAACAAACTAACTGATTTAAAGGTGTGCGGTTACATTAAGTACGTTTTAGTCGGTTGATATCGTACTATGTCGGCCGACTAGGCGAGAAGAACAAACGCGTTTGTTTTCTTCGGCGACATCGTACGATATTAATGATATAGAAAGCTGACACATGTGGCACATTCAATAATAATTGAGATTTTGTTAGAAGATTTATTTAAAATGGACTTAATAAAGTTAATTTTATGTGTTCAATCGAGGAAGCCGTTGTTGGATCAAACATGTAAAAACTGTCATAATAGTTATAGTAAAAAAGGGATGGGAAGAAATAGCAAAGAAAATGGAAGAAACAAGGTAACACTTATTACCTCAGAGTTCATTTTAAAATTATTTTCGATACATCTTTCTTTATCAATAATTATATTATGAAGAATACATGCGCATTTAACAATCATATTTGCTTTGTCTGGATGGCATTCTATGTCTTTTTTGAGGATCCTCCATTTGGAACTTAGTATGCCAAATGCACATTCAACAATCCTCCTTGCTCGAGATAGTCTATAATTATAAATCTCTTCTTGTTCACTGAGGTTACGACCAGAATATGGTCTCATTAAATACACTTTTAAAGGATAGGCTTCATCGTCCAAGATCACATATGGAATGGTAATATCTGTATTTGGAATAGTTTGGTCCTTTGGTACGCAAAAATTTTTATTTTCTAATCGAAAATTAGAATATGTTTCGAGTCGTTGGTGGATTCTTTTTAGTATGTTGAAGGCAAAATTCTAATGTATTCAACTTTTGTGGCTGCTTGCTTAACTCCTTGAAAAAGGTTACGTACTCCCCTTCCTGGTCTGTTCTTAAGTACATATTAACCTAATATTTTCTTTTTTTATTTAACATCATAAATGTCAAACAACTATTTTCAAGGAAATCTAAATCCCCTTCGTCATCCATTTTGAATTGAAACTACGAATGCAACGAATCGCAAACAATGTAACCACACAATCGTACGACAAACGGTCTTACGACATCGCACGACTAAAAAATCGCACGTATCCGCAACCAGTGTAACCATTCACTTAGTACTGCAGAGTATATTTACAACCCTAAATCCAATTGTTTTAACGTTTTAATAAAAAACATTTCAGAAACTAGTATCGCTAAACAAATTGGACTTGGAAAACTCCGATGATCCCCTTACAGCGGAAGAATTGGCGACATTGACCGGGGAAGATTTCTATACGAAGCTGGCGCTATCGTTGGCGCCCGAAATTTACGGCCATCTTGACGTTAAAAAAGCGCTTCTCTTACTTTTGGTCGGCGGCGTGGACAAGAGACCCGACGGCATGAAAATCCGCGGTAACATTAACATTTGCCTCATGGGGGATCCCGGTGTGGCCAAATCTCAGCTGCTTGGTTACATTAACAGACTCGCGCCGAGAAGTATGTTTATATATATTTAATAAATTTTTTCTAAATTCTCTACTTTTCAAGGTCAGTATACCACCGGAAGAGGTTCTTCTGGCGTAGGTTTAACAGCTTCGGTTATGAAAGACCCGATGACCGGTGAAATGATGTTAGAGGGCGGCGCTTTAGTTTTGGCTGACCAGGGCGTTTGCTGCATCGACGAATTCGACAAAATGGCGGACGAAGATAGAACAGCTATTCACGAAGTGATGGAACAACAAACCATCAGCATCGCAAAAGTAAAATATAGAAACACTTTGTGTTGTCAGCTATTTGTTTATTTTAATTTCAGGCGGGTATAATGACGACTTTGAACGCTCGAGTGTCGATTCTAGCGGCCGCCAATCCGGCGTACGGTCGTTACAATCCGAAAAGAACCATCGAACAGAACATTCAGCTACCGGCCGCGCTTCTTTCTCGATTCGATTTGCTGTGGTTGATTCAAGACAAGGCGAATCGCGATAACGATCTTAATCTCGCTAGACACATCACTTATGTACATCAACACAGCAAACAACCACCCACCTTAGTCGAAGCTTTGGACATGAAAGTTATGAGGAAGTATATCTCTATGTGTAAGATGAAGGATCCCGCGATACCAGAAGAATTGACGGACTTTATCGTTTGTAAGTTACATCGTTATTTTTAAATATTATTATTATTATTAGCATTTGTTCCTATAATTGAATGTATATGCGTGTTGCGGGGATCCGCTAATTTGCTGTGAGGATTCGCCGTTTCAATTCTTAATTTTATAACCAAAATGTAATTAATAAGATCCGTTTCTTTGCTGACTTTTTTATTTTCGTAGTTAAGATAAACAAGTAATACAAGATGATAAAAATTGACAAAAAGTAAATAACAAATATTAACTGTAACTAATTAAGAGTTAGTGACTACGCCACAATTTGCATTTTAATATGATTTACATTTCGATATTTTTAGCGGCGTACGTCGAACTTAGGATTGAAGCCCGCAACTCCAAGGACATGACGTTCACTTCGGCCAGAAATTTGCTCGGTATTTTACGTCTTTCGACTGCTTTGGCACGTTTGAGACTGTCGAATATCGTAGAAAAGGACGACGTTAACGAAGCCATCAGACTCATGGAGATGAGCAAGGACTCATTGAAACACACGTTCGAGAATCAAGGACAAAGGTACGTCATTGTACAAGATATTTAACAGTACCTGTATCCTTGGAATATGGGTATTGTTATAGTGTCTTAAACTGTATCAAGTATTTAGACTTAAATAACTCTTTTGTTCTTCCTGTAGGCCTCCAAATGTCAACGACAAGATTTTCGCAATTATTAGCGAGTTGGCTGGGGATAATAAGACTGTCACCATGTCTGCAGTGCTAGAAAAATGTGCCAGTAAAGGATACAACCCGGATCTAGTTGACGCTTGCATAGACGAATACGAGGAGCTGAATGTTTGGTTGATCAATCAAACTAGGACTAAGCTTACTTTTATCTAATTGTTTTTTTGTATCATGTTCTCGTTTATTATTTTTTTTTATTGAGTGTGTTTTGTATTAAGAAACGTATTTTAGGCCACATCACTATTTCCTTGGTTTTTTTTATAAGAACGATTAAACCTTTTCGTACAAATTTTAAAGAGGATTTTTTTAATTCCCACTACCCAGTTCAATTGAACCTCTTACCGGTCTACAAACGTTTTAGAGATGGAGTATCCAATGGTGTTCCGTCTCAAATGCAACATGACAACGCCGCAAAGAATGCCATCTCCACACCGTGATGTGTGAAAACATTCGCCGACCGTCCTTTGACTTGATTTGTATTTTTGTTTTATGTTTGTTAACACGTTTTGTAACCTCACATTTTAATTTTCGATATTGTACACATATATTTGGCAATAAAGAAGTGAAGTCGTGAATACATTCAGTTTTACAGTCCGCTGTTTTACCAATAATAATTAATTTAGATCGCAACTAAACAAATATGGATTTCTAGACAAATCTACGGCAAATAGATTTACACCCGAAAGGTGCAGGTATTAGCCGAGAATACCGATCAAGGAGAAGCGACAGTAGCTGACCGTGCCTTTGATATCGGATGTACCTTTTTCACAGCATGACTTTGATTGATACACAACTTAGAACGCTGAGAAAATATGCTTATTTTCTACACTGAGCGAAATAGTTTGGCAAATTATCGGAAATTATTGTTATAGTCCATGCGCAAATGTTGCAATGTGATTTAATTATATTGAAGTAGTTAGGGTTAATAGCAATGCTGAAATTTCGGCACCAAAATATAATTCATTATGTAATAATTATTTATTTGTTATAAAAGTAAAAGACGTTTATTATTTTATAATTTATCTATAAAATTTGTTCAATATTTGGTTTATTTATTGTTAAAAATGTAATAAAAGCCCCATATTTAAATTAAATTACCTTTTCCTTAAGTAAAAATAAGGTAAATAAAATTAAGGGTGCCAAAAAAAATAGGTAACAATTAAAAAGACATTAAGTTTGAGAGGTTTAACTAAATATTTGCAATGTGCATATATTTTCAAAGCTTTTAGGTTTAAAAAGTACTTACATATTTTTAGAATTTCTAGATTTATATTATATTAAAAGGACTTTCAAGTTTATCACTCATTTCTGTAGAAACAAATGTTTTCTCGCCAAGTTAAACGAGATGTCATTTAAGGTTTATGTATTTAGAGTTAAATACCTGGCCTGGCTATCACCTAGACAATACAAATATGTCCATTGGACGTCCATTCGATATACAATTTTGGATGTCTAGACGTCCAAAAATTAGTTTTCTGGACTTCCGACATCCAATGGACGTCCAGTGAAGTATACAAATAGCACACTTTTGACCATTCAGAGGACGTCCAATTCTGGAATATATTTGGACGTCGAATACTGGACATTCAAAAAACGTCCAGGATTATATTTCCATTGAGACCACATCCCCATTTTTTTTACAGAACCGCAACTCACCAAACACTATTTTATATTATTAATAATTTGTTTATTATTTTCGCAAACCGCTATACACCATTTATTTATTTTTCTATTAAAAATTGCTTGACCTGAGCAGGAATCGAACTCACGACACATCCATTATCGTTTTATGCTTTCAATCGCTACACGAGCTCGACCAAGGAACCACTTGAAAACTTTTTACTAGATACAGTTATAATTGAATAAGATTTCAAACTTCCGCTGATAGAATGAAATGCAATAGATTCAATTTGTCAATTTTTAATGACCAGTTATATTAAAAGAAAAGAAGTATATATAGGTGGGTATTATCTGGTAGACTTAATAAATAATGACCTAAGATGGACGTCAAAATACTACTAAACTTAAAATTAAGTCCAAAAAGAGACGTTCTCTGGGTATCGATATTCAGCTGTCAATTTAATTAGCATAAACGGACGTACACTGAATGCCCGGATATGGACGTCCTGACCCTCAAATAGATCTAAAGTGGACGTCCATTGGACTATGTGTGCATAGACGAATTTTTAGAAATAGTACTTATTTAAGTATGCATTGATTCATTCAATAAATGTAAATATGAATGGGTTAATAGCATCTTTATATTGACATAATTATAACTTACAATTTAGCCATAATAAAGGGATTTCGCCCACTTTGACCAATCCTAATTGAAACACGCGAATTTATTATATTTTTTTAAATATAATTTCAAAATAAAATAAAATCTGCAGTTCATTGTTTATTAAATTTATTTATAAGAAGAAAAACATATATCTCACAAAATACAATACCTACATATGAAAAATAAAATGTCAAAAATGATTAAATCATTATACTTAATATTTATGCATGTGATAAAATTCTTAGTTTCCTAATAACTTTTTTGGCTCATTTTATATCTGTATTAGAATACCTAAGTGTGTAAAATCTTCATCTTATTATTACACAAAACAAACACCAAAAAATATCACTTAACATTGCTCACGTATATGGAGGGTATAAAAAAGGAGGACAATCTTATATGGATCTTTATATTAAAAAGTTGCCACCAAAATGTATGCAATTAAGATGGCGCTCGTGTAGCCAGGGGACAAAATCCAATGCTATATAGTCATATAGATTGCTCATTCATAAGAATTATTTATTGTTTATAATATTATTTTTCAATAAGATTTGACTATTGTCATGTATTGTCAAAATTTATCTACGATCACATAACACTTACTCTTCTACGACCAGTCACTTTTCACGGTGTAATTTTTTATGGTTGAGCAATATTTATTACTATATACATCATTGGTGTCATTGTGTGATCTGAATTATCGACTGTCGACGTCCCCTGGGCACAGAAGCGCCATCTTAATTGTATACATTTTGAGGGACACTTTTTGTATACAGAGATTGTTCTCCTTTCCTCTACCCTCCATACTCACGTACTAAACACAACTTGGACTGACTTTGACAGATAACATAATTTTGAGTGATACACAACGTTTCGCACATGCGCGTTACAAAACGGTACACTGAAAACACCAAGCTGTCGCTTCTCCTTGATCGGTATTCTCGGGTATTAGTGCAAACAACTCAGATAAACAAATGAATAATAGATAACTAACGGTCTGGATCTGTTTAAAGCTTAGACTAGGTAATACCTAGTCTAAAGTTTGAAGCCAGGATGGACCCTTTTTCCTATTACGTTCTCCTTGGTCTCTGATGTAATTCGTCTATTCTTACAACTGTCAACAAGCACCATATAAGTACTTACCTACAAATGTTTTAGGTTATATATTAATTTAATTTTTTCATTAATTTTCATATAGAAATGAAACAGAGTTAAACAAGAACTTTATATTTTTTAAAATACATTTTTTTATCTAAAATTGGGTAAATAGGCACCAGTATATAAAAAAATAATAAGGCAATCTTAGAAGTACACTTAAGAAATAATACACTTTAAGCAATGCTAGTCGGAATCTTCGGCTTGTGACAGGTCGTACCAATCGCGGTACGCGTCCTCTAGGTGTTGGAAGTTCTTTAAGTTTAATATCACCTAAAAAACAGAAATTTTATTCAATTAATGTCCAAGCACATTATAGATAAAAATAAAATATTTATTATAGTGAAATTTATAGTCTAAAAGTATAAGTTATCCTACTGACTGTGCCATATACGTTTAATGTACGTAATTAAATCTGTTATGTAGCAATTTGTATTTAATCACGACTATTTAAGTACTCAGAAATTTATTCGCAATAAACTTCAACTACCGAAAACCATTTGACAAACATAGTGGTTCCAACTTTATTACATTTTGTATTATTCTATTTTGTTATACCTTGATCAGATTATGTTAAAATTTCATATTTGTTTACGTTTGAAAATAAAAAAAAAATATTCATATTAAATGTTAAAAATACTGACTTGTCCCACTATGTAGGAGTTGAAGACTTTCTTGCTCTTCACAGTCAACACCAATTTGTAGTTCGGAAGATCTGAATTTGAGATGAGGTATTCGAAAGTTTCTTCAAAAACGGGATCGCAGTTGTCCATAATGACCTAAAAAGTCGTATTATCTATTATCTAGCCAACACCAGTTTTCGTTACAGTACAGGGTGTCTCGTTGTATTGTTATCGATTTTAAAAGCTCATATTTTAAATAAATAGTTGGGAGGCTTGTCTTTTAATAGAGCGGCCTCTATTGAAAAGAAAAATGAATAGTTAAAATGTCAAGAGGTGAGCAACTTGAATTTTTCTGAAATGCGAAGAAAGTAAAACTAACAATTATTGCAATATATACAACAGAATTGATCCCTCAATGATACGATTTTTTCTAGCAAAAGCACTTGACAGATTTACTGATTACATTATTTTGGTTGAACCAAGAAGAAAATTTTGAAGTATACCGGAAAGATTATTGATACAATGGGAGCCTTCGGTTAGGACTCTGGAGTACACTGAATCACAAGAATAAATAATAACCAGAAGGATATCTCCGATCACGGGATCTTCGAGGGCTCGTGACCTTCAAGCACACCTACACCGATATTCTACACCGAAACTTTGAGTGCAGTAGCGACCGGTACAGGCGGTGGTATTGAAATTGTGAATTTATAATTATTATTCTGTTGTTTCTGTTATTTTGCTTAAATATTTTTATACTTTTAAATGTATTGACCGAAATTTTAAAACTATAAAAGACAAAAAGGTTGTAATTTGGAAAGATAAGTAAATATTTATATATATATATATATATATATATATATATATATATATATAATTTAAAATTCAAACTAATTTATTGGGGGCAGCAGCAATATATAATAAAGAAAACTCTTTAAAGATGATCCAAGCTTTCGGAAATTTTAATAACTTATTTCCATCTTCAGGGAATCTACAAAAGGTGTGGTGTGTCTTCATAGGAACATAATATTATTAAGAGAGTGAGTTACTTACATCTTTGTGAGGATGAATTATTAATGATGTTAAATGTTATGATTTTGATGCACATATAGAATTAAAATTACACAGTTTTAAAATATAACTTAAAATTATTGTGGTTTAAATTCAGTTTGAAATTTAACTGTTATGTTAATTTTTGTGTCATTCGTTGTTTATGTATACAAGTGTGTTAGATTAAATATAGAAATTACTAATAAGGAACCTAGTTAGGAAGATTATTTTGTACCTAAATTATTATTTAATAAAGTTTTATCTGAGAATGCAGTTTGATTAATTATTTCATCATCAACAAAACTGTCACTAATTGTTGTGATGAATGAAAGGATGTTGTAAATTATTTCATCAAAAACAATACTGTCACCATTGTTATGATGAAAGGTTGAATATTAAAAGTTTTTTAATCAGACTTGTATCATAAAAGGTGGTCATTTAAAAAATTAGATTTCATCTGCAATAATACTGTCACTATTATTGTGATGAAGGGTTGTATTGGTGTTGAGTAAGTATGAGTAAATAGCACTTAGATGTTTTATGTCCGACATAAAACATCTAAGTGCTATTTACTCATACTTACTCAACACCAATACAACCCTTCATCACAATAATAGTGACAGTATTATTGCAGATGAAATCTAATTTTTTAAATGACCACCTTTTATGATACAAGTCTGATTAAAAAAACTTTTAATATTCAACCTTTCATCATAACAATGGTGACAGTATTGTTTTTGATGAAATAATTTACAACATCCTTTCATTCATCACAACAATTAGTGACAGTTTTGTTGATGATGAAATAATTAATCAAACTGCATTCTCAGATAAAACTTTATTAAATAATAATTTAGGTACAAAGTAATCTTCCTAACTAGGTTCCTTATTAGTAATTTCTATATTTAATCTAACACACTTGTATACATAAACAACGAATGACACAAAAATTGACATAACAGTTAAATTTCAAACTGAATTTAAACCACAATAATTTTAAGTTATATTTTAAAACTGTGTAATTTTAATTCTATATGTGCATCAAAATCATAACATTTAACATCATTAATAATTCATCCTCACAAAGATGTAAGTAACTCACTCTCTTAATAATATTATGTTCCTATGAAGACACACCACACCTTTTGTAGATTCCCTGAAGATGGAAATAAGTTATTAAAATTTCCGAAAGCTTGGATCATCTTTAAAGAGTTTTCTTTATTATATATTGCTGCTGCCCCCAATAAATTAGTTTGAATTTTACATTACTATTCAGCAAAGACTACCCTTCCACTATATATATATATATATATATATATATATATATATATATATATATATATATATATATAAATATTTACTTATCTTTCCAAATTACAACCTTTTTGTCTTTTATAGTTTTAAAATTTCGGTCAATACATTTAAAAGTATAAAAATATTTAAGCAAAATAACAGAAACAACAGAATAATAATTATAAATTCACAATTTCAATACCACCGCCTGTACCGGTCGCTACTGCACTCAAAGTTTCGGTGTAGAATATCGGTGTAGGTGTGCTTGAAGGTCACGAGCCCTCGAAGATCCCGTGATCGGAGATATCCTTCTGGTTATTATTTATTCTTGTGATTCAGTGTACTCCAGAGTCCTAACCGAAGGCTCCCATTGTATCAATAATCTTTCCGGTATACTTCAAAATTTTCTTCTTGGTTCAACCAAAATAATGTAATCAGTAAATCTGTCAAGTGCTTTTGCTAGAAAAAATCGTATATATATATATATATATATATATATATATATATATATATATATATATATAAATCTTTTACTTACCCATATTTGTAATAATGTATGAACTTAAAAAATAAATCAATAACTACCCAATATTTTTTTTATTTTTCTGACCTTTTTTTCGGTGCGCCTATGGAATACAAGTAATAACTAAAAGACGAGGTCATAGCTCGTCGTCATCAAATACAAAGGAATTAAATGAGATATATCCTTCTGGTTATTATTTATTCTTGTGACTGAATGCAACAGCAAACTGTTAATGAATGAATATGTGAATTATATTGTAATGATGTATGGTCTGTTTGTATCAATTTCTGTAACTTAAATGCGCCAAGTTCGTCAACTTTAATTTACGAATTTTGCAACACAACCACAAAAACTGACGACCGACAGAACAAGAAGCACACATCAGACAAATAATTCTCACCTTTAGTTTTTATGGTATTACCCTTGATTATTTATTGATCAGAATATTATTAGAGTTCTAAACATCAGATCATTTCAGATTCAATCCCAAGGCACACTAGACTGTCAGCAGTTTCAACCCATAGTTTCAACCCTGATTGCATTGTCAGTGGGAAGGTTTGAGATAATATCTAACGGTTGTGACATACGATGTATTCTAATCATGAATAATGGATTACATTTAAATATTTTATATCGAACACAATAAAAATATTATTAAAAAAATTGCTTGTACATTTTTTTTTTAAATTGGCATTCTTGGCGACTGATATTTTGAATAAAAATAGCGTCAAAGATGCAAGACTATGTCGATACCTCCTTAGATATACGAGACCTTCCCACTGGCAGGTATTATTTGACAGGTCGTTGGAATGCCTAACGACGTTGCCACATTGATACAAAAATCTAAAATGTAAAGAAATGTAAGTTTTCCCTTCCTTGAAAAAAAAGTTTACGTTACCGGAGTTATAGATTTACTAGACGCGTTTAGAACTTAAAAAATCGATCGGAATACGAGAGATACACCCGACATTTCGGCCCAAAAATTCCCAATTTTAAGACATTAACAAAACGAAACATTAGCTGCTTAGGTCCACCACCTTAGTTGGCGTTGCCAGATTTTACCAGAAAGCAACATGAAGTGTAGACTATTATTGTAGACCTTACCTTCTGAGCTGGAATTCGTGACAACCACGGCAATAAGAAAGGAACTTTCGTTTCTAAATATAATTTTTTCAGCATATTTATTGTACCAGCACACTATATTATCGAAATTATAAGAATTAGAAGATGTTATGTACAATTTTCACTCAATAAACAGCAAATGATTACTTACTTTTGTTTTGTTTTTTATTCGATGGGTCCCTGGAGCCGTTAATTTTAATTTGACGTAGGGGTCTGGTATGTTGCTGGGATCTTTCAATGGTATGTTTCTGAAAAACGTATTTGGTAATTAGTACATTGATTTGAAATAGATTTTTAAAAGTTAACCTACATGAGTTTGTGGACGGTAACGATCAACTTTTGCCTCGGGGCGCTATACTGAAGGGTCAATTCCATTTGGCCCAGCTCGTGTTTTCTAAAAACGTAAAAAATATGATAATTAGAGAGGGGTATCAGAAACCATATGGCTAATGGAACGTAGACTAAAGGAACACAAATTGGTAGCCAAAACTTTGAAATTTGGAGTAGCTGACTGACCAAATAGCTCCATTTCAGTTCCAACTACACTTTTATGTTAAAATTACGATTATCACAGTAGGTTGGGTGCCACTTCACCCCCACTTTTTCGATTTTTCCCCTGATCCGCGGAAATTTGTTGAGTAGATATGGAAACACCGCATATTAAGTACGCCTAATAATTCGCCGTTATCAAGACAAACAGAGGCGTGCTTAATTATTATCCGTAGTGTACATTACTTTACAAAGCCCAGAAACCAGATTGAATTTATAGGCAGTAGGCGTGGTCACAGACCTCCCAGCGTCTTATTTATAATACTACACAGTTGCATTCAGTAGCGTAGTAAGCATTTTAGTTATTACATTTCCTGTCATTGTTAATTTATTTTGTTAAGTGTTTCGATTTGATCCAAAGAAACGTTTATTTTTTAGTTTTTCGACTATTCAATTTTGTGTGTATTTTGGTAAGTACAATTTATACCTAAATAAATCATTTAAAGAGTAAAAAATCTGATGTGTCCAACACATAACTTTCCTATCTAGTTATTATAGGCTTTTTCCGGTTATTTTGTACAACATATTGCATCACCTCTATAAATGTTAAGAGGATAAACTAAATATATACATTTTCCAAATACATCTACCTCGAAACATTTTTCTATAGATATTCATTGAAAACGAAAATAGTAAAAAAATTAAATTTAGCACTTTTCCGACAATTTTTCCATTACGGTCCATTTTAGAAAAATCATGTATAAACAAAAATTATAGAGATCGATATCGCAAACAACTTTTAGTTCTTAAACATCACAATTTTGCACATTTTGTCAAATTTCTCGAATACGGACCATTTCAGGAAAATTTGACATAAATCAAAAATTATAGGTAATAATATTATAAGTAACTTTTATTTTAACAATTTTCTTCTCCAAACATAAATAACAGATATATTCCATAAAATATAAAAACGGCCTCCCATAAAGTACCCCCCCCAGATGTTCCGACTTTGTCCAAAATCTAATCATTTTACGTCAGGCCGAAATAAAACTTAGGTTTAAAATTTAATGTTTTTTTTTATCCATTTTTGAGTTTTCTTCAAAATTCGAAATTTACACATTTTCTCAAATATCTCGAATACGGTCTATTTTAGAGAAATTATGTAAAGAATAAAAATTATAGAGAATTATATTTCAAACAACTTTTATTAAAACAATTTTTATAAAAAATATTTTTTTTTACATTTTGTCAAATTTCTCGAATACGGACCATTTTAGGAAAATTTTGTATGGAACAAAAAATATTGATAATAATATTGTAAGTAACTTTTATTTAAATAATTTTCTTCTCCAAACGTAAATAACAGATATATTCCATAAAATATAAAAATGACTACCCATAAAGTACCCCCCCAGATGTTCCGACTCTGCCCAAAATCTAATCAGTTCATTGGATGTCCAAATAAAGCTTAAGTTTAAAATTTGGTGTTTTTCTTTATATCGGTTCATGAGTTATGGTGGATACAGACACACACACAGACATCATCGCGAAAATAGTCAAAACGGATTCAGTGGATCTCAAAACGTAAAAATCCGTCGAAAACCCGAGGTCGAAAAAAATCATGATTCCTATACTTTCCTTATCTGTATACAGATTGGAAAGTAAAAAGTAAGTTTTATAAACCACCATTCTTAAAAATTAGTATCTTTACACTTATTTTGTTATGTAAAATCACACTTTATACAGAATAATTATTGAAAAAATCTGATGTGTCCAACACATGACTTTCCTATCTAGTTATTGTAGGCTTTTTCCGGTTATTTTGTACAACCTATTACAGCATCTCTATAAATGTTTAGAGGATAAACTAAATATATACAGTGTCCACATACATTTACCTCGAAACATTTTTCTATAGATATTCATGGAAAACGAAAATACTGAAAAATTTAAATTTCCTACAATTTTTTCATTACGGTCCATTTTAGAAAAATCATGCATAAACAAAAATTATAGAGATCGATATCGCAAACAACTTTTATTTTAAAAACTTTCATAAAAATCAGAATTTTGCACATTTTGTCAAATTTCTCGAATACGGACCATTTCAGGAAATTTTTACAAAAAACAAAAATTATAGATAATATTAGAAGTAACTTTTATTTGAACAATTTTTTTCTCCAAACATTAATAACAGATATATTCCATAAAATATAAAAGTGGCCTCCCATAAAGTACCCCCCCAGATGTTCCGACTATGTCCAAAATCTATTCATTTCACGTCAGGCCGAAATAAACCTTAATTTTAAAATTTAATGTTTTTTTCTTTATCCGTTTTTGAGTTTTCTTCAAAATTCGAAATTTACACATTTTCTCAAATATCTCGAATACGGTCCATTTTAGAGAAATTATCTATAGAATTATAGAGAATTATATTACAAACAACTTTTATTTGAACAATTTTTATAAAAAAATATTTTTTTTACATTTTGTCAAATTTCTCGAATACGGACCATTTTAGGAAAATTTTGTATATAACAAAAATTATAGATAATTATATTAGAAGTAACTTTTATTTGAAGAATTTTCTTCTCCAAACGTAAATAACAGATATATTCCATAAAATATAAAAATGACCACCTATAAAGTACCCCCCCAGATGTTCCGACTCTGCCCAAAATCTAATCAGCTCATTGGACGCTGAAACAAAGCTTAAGTTTAAAATTTGGTGTTTTTCTGTGTATCGGTTCATGAGTTATGCGTTATACAGACACACACACAGACACACACACACACACACACACACACACACACACACACACACACACACACACACACACAGACAGACAGACATCATCGCGAAAATAGTCAAAACGGATTCAGGGGACCTCAAAACGTAAAAATCCGTCGAAAACTCGAGGTCGAAAAAAATCATGATTCCTATACTTTCCTTATATCTGTATACAGATAGGAAAGTAAAAAGAACATAAGACCCCATCTAAAGGTCGAAAAATCGTCGAAAAATCGAGTCAATGCCAATATATCACACGTATACAAATATATATATATATATAAATTCTGAAAATGCCTTTTGATGGACTTAATTAAAATTCAGGATTTTTTGAGATATGCCCCTTCATCATGTTAGCGACGAATTACGCATTCGGCGCGGTGTTGCAGGTCTACGCTACAGCTTTTCTTAGATCTGGGGAAAAACGTAAAAATTGGGCTGAAGTGACTTACACTCTAAAGCTAGAACTCCTCACTGGAGAATTATTGGATAGGACTGACGATTCCTTAGCCAGTTCTTCTTCGATTAAATCTCCAAATGTGGGATTTGTGGGAGAAGTGGGAGATTTCGGTGGTGGACTACTGTTACTCGCGTTACTTGAGGCAGAAACTGAAAAAAATATATTAATTTTTTTGAATTATATTAGCAAGTGAACCATATGAATTAAATCAACAAGCATAATAAATAATAACTTGAAATGTAATTTTACCTGTTCTGTGCCTCTTTGAAGACGACCTCGTAGATTGGTTTCTAGATAAAGTCCCTACAGTTTCATTGTCAGATTCTGTATCACTATCATCTAATTCGAATTGGTCATTTGTTAAAATCTAGAAAGATGAATAACATTAATCCACCGATCTCAAATCTGGTGAGCTAACAGACCCAAGTAACTCAAAAAGTTATATAAGCGTTATACCGAGGTTGCAACAACGTTTCTTAAAACTCAACCACTTCTAACTCAACATATTTTAATATACTATACTGTTATTATATATTATTATGCGACTTTTAATGGATGTATTCAACCTAATAGTATACGTTTTACAGTAGTTGCGATAACATCAGTTATAACTAACTTATAACTTTATAAAAAGATAATGTTATTAGGTAATTGAAAACCCAAGTGTATGAAGGGCCTATGTAGCAAAATAATTTTTACGAGATATTTCTTGTTAAAGTTTATTGATTGGCAGTTATTTCCTAGTACATGGGTCCTTTATCCACTGGCAACTTCTATATTTGATGATATATTGTCACGAAAGACATTTTAAACGAAGTTTAGGTATATAAGCCATTCATTCACAGAAAAACACCTTTAAAAAAATGTTACATAGGCCCTTCATCCTCTTGTCTTCAATTACAAATAGATATAAAAACGTTATTAAGAGTTGTTATAATAATAATAATAATAACGTATTTTTCTTACTCTAAGTTGAAGGGAAAGTACAATTTTCCCGCTGCCATTACCGACGGAGAATTCTTCTTTGCTTATTTGTAAATCAGGTGCTGTGAACAAATCTTGGATGACGTAATTGAGGAACCCCAATTTGGTATCGCTTCCCTTGTCGAATATTGCAAGATTTAGAGTGTCGGTTTGTGGATTCGAAACCAATATTGAGAATCCTTGCTCCCACATTGGATCGCACGTGTGTTTCTTCACTTTGCTCTTTTGCTGCTTCTTACCAACCGTGAGGAGCGCGTATGGATCTGGTTTTTTAGATTTCACCCTCTATAATAACAATAATAATAGTAAAGAGTATGATTAAATGTATGCTTTTATTTACCTGTAGGTCTTGGGCTGTATCCAGATAAATGGTAAGAAGCCCCATACTTATATCAGCTACCTTTAATAATTTAGTTTCTACAGATGCCTAAAATTTAATGAAATTAATCATTTTGGAATACAGAAAATTGCTTTATTCGGTTTTACCGCATTCAGATCTTCCCTATCAGCTGACAGACCCAGCCATGAGAATCTTAAATGGATTTTGCCATGCTTGGCGTTATCCAAATTAAACCATTTGTCGTTTTCACCTTCTTTTACTACATGATGTATTTCGATGACGCCGCTAAAAGAGAGGGAGAAAGGGTCATTATAAAGTTAAAAACAAAATACATCAAATTTCAATGAAAACTATCCATTCTAAATAATTTTAAACCAAAGGTGAGTCTTTTATTAAAAATATAAAATTTTGTCAAAAATTATATAAATGGAATGTCTTTTTGCTCACGTATACTCGTTTGTAATTTTCAACCTCTTCTCCCATGTTTTTTCAATGGAAGATCCTGTATATTATTCATGTTTCTATTCTCTAATTTTAGATTCCAAAAATATGTAGGTACCTCAGGTGTAAAGTGAATCGATTGGAAGTTGAGTTTTGTTTACGCTCTTTTACCTTTAAAATTATTTATAATCATTTTGAATTCTGTGGCCTAAACCGGCCCTGAGTGGAACTGAGTGGCAATGTCAAAACATTGGCAAATAAACCAACTTCGGTGTGCCCCGGTCGTTAGATTATACCAAATAAACGCAAATCGTAAAGACTAGTGACATGATAATATTCATGGGATATTTGAGTTTGTACACAAAATTAATTTTTTTTAAATGTTGTGTAAACTAATCTAATTCGTCTGGTTACAAACTGTCAACTAGATAGTAGGATAAAAACGTTAAATTTTAAATGTTGACGACGCAAGATACCGGAAACTCTTTTCGGAAATGTAAAGAACAGAATTTACCTTCCCATAAAATCATCTTCGTTTAAATCATCCTGGTCAAACATTTTAAAATGCAAGTGCTGCCCCAGTGGATCCAAAATAACGAACTAAAAATCGTTCGGAATTAAATTAATATTAGATGATTAATTATTTAAAAGTTGCCTACCTCACACCAGTAATCCCATTTTGGATTCAGTTCTCTCTTAATGACAGGAGTTCTGCATTCTTGTGCGCCAACTGTTAATATCACGTACGGATCAGATTTACCAGTGACATCCTTCCTTTCTAAGTCCTTGGCTTCGAAAACGTGTACCCTCAAAACACCCTAAAACATAATTTTTTTTTACCTAACAGTATTTTGACACAAAGTAGTGACATAACGATAGATAATGACATAAAGTGAGCATGTCATACTTTTTTGATTAACCATAATGTAATAAATATTATAATAGTTGTTATCAAATGGCTGTATCATCTTAGAAATATAGACAAATAAATAAACAAATAATAAACGATGAAATTAAGTTTCCAATTCTTACGGCAGGTTCCAATGCCTTTAGTTCAGCAGCCTCAACAGATTTGGAAAATCTTTTAGTAATCTTGTTAGGGAACACCAATTTCTTTGTGATCCTTTCTTCGATTTTTTGTCTAATAAAATAGCTGAAACAATTATATCATTTAATAACAATCGATTTGTCAAAATTGTTTAGCTACCTAAAACCGGGGATTCCTGAAATTCCATCTAATTCGAAATTTATATCTGGCGTATTCAGAAAGAAAATTTGTATTCCTCCGATTATAGGCATTTTTATCATTAGTGGTTTGAGGACTAGTCTCAACTCGGCACCAACCTGAAACAGGTGTGTTAGTTTCTGATAATTATTCAGAAAGAAAATTATATATTTACTTGGAAATCTTTTATGCGTCCTATTTGTGCTCCTGACATGGAAAAATGTATATCACAGTCACCATCATAACTGAAAAAAAAGTATCAAGAAATATCGAAAAATATCGGGAAATATCGAGAAATATCGAGAAATATCGAGAAATATCGAGAAATATCGAGAAATATCGAGAAATATCGAGAAATATCGAGAAATATCGAGAAATATCGAGAAATATCGAGAAATATCGAGAAATATTGAAAAATATCAAGAAATATCGAGAAATAACGAGAAATACCGAGAAATATCGAGAAATATCGAGAAATATCAAGAAATATCAAGAAATATCAAGAAATATCAAGAAATATCAAGAAATATCAAGAAATATCAAGAAATATCAAGAAATATCAAGAAATATTAAGAAATATCAAGAAATATCAAGAAATATCCAGAAATATCAAGAAATATCAAGAAATATCAAGAAATATCAAGAAATATCAAGAAATATCAAGAAATATCAAGAAATATCAAGAAATATCAAGAAATATCAAGAAATATCAAGAAATATCAAGAAATATCAAGAAATATCAAGAAATATCAAGAAATATCAAGAAATATCAAGAAATATCAAGAAATATCAAGAAATATCAAGAAATATCAAGAAATATCAAGAAATATCAAGAAATATCAAGAAATATCAAGAAATATCAAGAAATATCAAGAAATATCAAGAAATATCAAGAAATATCAAGAAATATCAAGAAATATCAAGAAATATCAAGAAATATCAAGAAATATCAAGAAATATCAAGAAATATCAAGAAATATCAAGAAATATCAAGAAATATCAAGAAATATCAAGAAATATCAAGAAATATCAAGAAATATCAAGAAATATCAAGAAATATCAAGAAATATCAAGAAATATCAAGAAATATCAAGAAATATCAAGAAATATCAAGAAATATCAAGAAATATCAAGAAATATCAAGAAATATCGAGAAATATCAAGAAATATAAAGAAATATCAAGAGATATCAAGAGATATCAAGAGATATCAAGAGATATCAAGAGATATCAAGAGATATCAAGAAATTTCAAGAGATATCAAGAGATATCAAGAAATTTCAAGAAATAATATCAAGAAATTAAAAAAGAGGCGATTTTATTTCATTTTCATTGAATTCGTTATATCTCAATATACAGATAATATTATATACTTGTAGATACAGAACTACTTACTAAACGTCAAAATCTATAATTATAGAATCCTTAGTGATGCTTCTATTATAAACTTTAACTCCGTCTATTTTGGGGGGCTAGAAATAAAGGCGAAATTATTATTTTTTAGAATCAAAACTATAATTCTCATTACCGATTTTCCAAAATCGATTTCTTCGAATCTGAAACTGTCAAATTTTTTCTTAATTTTAGTTTGTAACTTCGTTCTACATAGCTTGACTATGTACAGACAAATGCTGGGCCAGATTTGTATTATTATCTAAAGAAAATAAGTGGTTTAGCTTTTTCTATTAGAGAAAAAAAATGGTTTTCTTACTTCGTTTAGCCATTCTGCACGTTCTCGGTCTGGAAATGTGACCTGAAATTTATAAATTGCTATTGAATCCGTGTTGTTGTAGTAGTATATTATACAGTATGTCCCCCTAAGTTGGAATCATTTGGAAAACATTTTTATTAATAATTTTAGGAAAAAAAGTTATTCTTTATAAAAAGTTCTGCATTATCTAAAACCTAGAATACAGTCATCAAATATCAGTAGTATACGAGTTTCGTCAAAAAATATGAGTTTTACTCAAGAGTAAAGTACCTTTATTCTTCATACGACTGATAAAATTTGATATTTGAAGGTTTAATTTTATGTTTTAGACCATGCTCGACTTTTTATAAAGAATAACTTTTTTCCCAATATTAATAATAAAAAAGATTTTCAATTTACGTAGACAGTTGATGATGACTGTATTCTGGGTTTTAGATAATGCAGAACTTTTTATGAAGAATAACTTTTTTCCTAAAATTAATAATAAAAAGTTCTTCATATGATTCCAACTTAGGGGGACATACTGTATATTAAGTTTTGAAAAGTGAAGTATGGAGAAAATGTGGAGAATTTCAATGATTTTAAGATAAAAATGTCATTCAAAAAAGGCTTGCAAATTTTTTTATAGAATCTTTAAAGCCCCGTATTTATTAAAATATTGTTTCTACGGCAAAAATGATGATTACAAAAATTGTAGAAAATCGCAATCTCTATAAGTTTGGTATTTTTATGTACGATTCACCTTTAAAGAGCTGTATCTCTAGTAAATATTTACTTTCGTAAAAAAGTAGGTATAGATAGAAAAAGATATAAAATTGAATAACCAAAACACAGGTTACTATAATTTTTGTTGTAGGATGTATAAATAGTGTCCGAGATACAAAATAAAAAGTATTATTCTTCGCAATGTTCTGTCTAAACCTTCTTAAAAAAATACTTACCCATGATGGTAATTCGTCCACGACTTTCAGCAAATCTTTCTTCCTGAACGAACTGACTTTTGATTTGCTCGAAATTTTCCTCATTTTATTTTTGTCTTGCGTCTCGAACCATACTAACGTACAAATGGTCAGTAATGGCAATATTAACGAAAAATTTAAGTAACATATGGCGTAACCCAGGAAGAACAAGGCTGCCTGAAAATTGAAAAATAAAAATGGTGTACTTCCAAAAAAAAGGTAATAACGAACTTGTTAAAAAGTAGCACGTTGACAAAGACAGAACAGAAGAAATCAATCTTGTGATAGCAAGATAGAAAAAAAAATGTGGAAATACTATATTCTCTTTCCACTAGAGAAAACTTACGATAGTATAATATTAAATTAAACGAAAGACAAGAGATTCCATATAAATCTCCGAGCAATTATTATTACTAGAGGGAGTCTTCCTCCCTTTCCCACGCTAAACTTTGTAAGCAACATCTATTCCCCCAAGGAGGGAAATCCCTAGCCACGTTTTTATTGACAATTTTTTTTAAAACTGTAATTTAATCGACTAATTTTGTGTATTGTTTAAATTTTCATATTATACACTTAATTAATTTTAGGTTTAAAAAAAATGAACCTCAAAGATATGCTGATGATCTCAAAAAAGCAAAAATATTTTAAAATTCTTAAGAAAACTAGTCAGAGCCAAAAACATTAAATAGTTAGTCTTCGTGCAAATATAAAGATATATAATGAATCTATAGTTAATGTCCTCCTTATGGTAATTTCAAGATTTTTTAATTGAGGAACCTGTTTGTTCTTAGTTTTTGATGGTATATAGGTACTGTTTTAAATAAAACATATAGTAATTATTTCAAGTTGAAGTTTTATTATTTTGTCCGGATTTTTAAAAATTTGTCCGGAATATTCATTAGGAATATCAGGAAATTGTATTTTGTAATATGGTAATCCTATTCTTACCGCACCAGAGTCTGTGTTATATAAAATAGTAGATACGAAAGCAGCTCGTCATGAAGCAACTTTCATGTGCAACAAACATTATATCCAAAGTAATTGATGAAATATGAAATTTACTTGCAGAAAAGTATTGCCTTTTATAGATCTAAAGAAGCCCTATTTGCTAAAGACTTTGTATGGACCAGTCTAAAAAATGGAAAACTGTCAGCAGTGACTTGGTGGAAATCGATTTGTTCAACAACATAGTTAAGCAAAGTAGCTGTAGAAGTATTAAACTGCCCACCGGAAATTGCTGCTACAGAACGAAGCTTATCAACGTATGGAAATGTCCATACAAATAAAAGAAATAAAATACAAATAAAATGAAAGGGCACAAAAACTAGTTTATATCAGACAAAATTTAAATATAGCCGAATGTTCATCCGGTTCATTACAATCTTCTTTGAAGTTTGAATCTGACTATGAATCCGACTGGTCTGAAGTAGATAACGAAACTGAACTAGATAAAATAGTTGATTTAGAGATATCATTTAGTCCAGTTCATTGTGAAATGCCAACGTAACATATGCATAATATAATTAATAAAACATAATCTTATATAATTCTTACAAAATTAAAATAAATTTTTATTATACAAAGTACGAGGAACTTAAGTTTTTTTTAGATTAAGCACCTGCACAAACAATAAAATTTCATTTGATGTTTTGTTTTGTTTGCTTTCGCGTTTTGTATTACTTAAACCTAAATTTAAATTATATTTAGTAACAAAAAATTAGTTTTATTCACAAACAAATGAAACAATTCTATGTTCGACACAGACACTTACACACCTTAATTTCATTTCGAAATCATTATTAGTCATGTATGTGTATCAAATATATTACGGTAAATTACCACAGTAATTTACGAAACAAATTTATTACCAGGGTAATTAATTTTGGTAATTAAAACCCGTAAATTACCACCGTAAATTACCAAAAATATAAATTACGGTAATTTTACATCACTGGAAAAGTTAGTAGGTATTATTAAAGCAATAACAACTGCTATCTTTGATAAGTGATATTTTTGAATAAAATAATCAAAATGACTTATAATGAGGGAAAAAAGTGTAAATAATGAACTAAACTATGATATTCGATGCTTATTTATTCAAAAACAGTATAAGGTACGGATAATACAGTGTGTGTCATAAAATTGGATTTATATGTGATTTTTTTAAATATTACGATTGGAAAAAAAACCTTATAGGGCATACAACTCTGTTTATTTATATACTTAAAACAGCCCATATTAAAGCAAGCGCGTAGTTAAGTTGTTTTCTTGGGGGGGGGGGGGTAGCACTTTTCACATTATTGGTGAATGCGCAGCATGTTATCTTAGAATATGGTACCAATGCAACGTCTAGAGTTCATATGTGTATTTCCAGAAAAAAGAGTGAGTTTTATAATGAAGTTTTTAATTTTTTATATATTTATACAAGGTGTTTCAGAATAAAATACCTTAATTTTAGGAATTTGTAGATCTTAATCAATTATAAAGAAAAGCTAAATATAATTTTCCTATAAACGCTCCAGTTTTCATTCTACAGGGTGATAAAGTGAATTTCATAAATACTTATTTTCTAAATATCTTCCCTTACAGTAAAGACTTTAACTTAAAAATATTTATATGATACAATTTTATTCAAAACAGTGTTTTGAAACATGGCTAAATATGTCTAATTTTTTGTTCAATTTACTTAATTTTGTCAAATGCAACACACTGTATATTATTTTCGCATAAAATTCCTTACAAATTTACCTATCCAACGATACCAACATGTTTATTATTGGAAATAGAAAAAACAAATTAATATAAAAGTTGTATGACCATGTTTAATAAATATTCTTAAATATACAGGGTGGTCCATAAACGAGGGGCTGACCAAACTTATATATTTTTATATTTACATCGTCAAACAGCTTTAATACACTTCATTTATTTGCTATGTTGTATATAGGGTGTTTCAAAATGAGGGGTAACGATTTTATCATTTTTTTAAATGGAATACCCTATATGTCATACCACCAATTAATTAATACATGGTATTCTATTTAATAATCGTAACCTCACGTTTTGACACACCCTATATACAACATAGCAAATGAATGAAGTCAATTAAAAAATTTTGACGATGTAAGAACAATCAAATGTGCTTTAAAAAAGTATAGATTTGGTCAGCACCTCGTTTATGGACCACCCTGTATATTTAAGAATACTTGTTAAATATGGTAATAAAACTTTTATATTAAACATTTCTTTGCATTTCTAATAATAAAACAGCTATTGATCCATTATGTACTGACGGGACACCCTGTATATGTGTTATTGACTAACATATTGGTATTATTACATGGGCAAATTTATAGGGAATTTTATGCCAAGATAATATACAGTGTGTAGCGTTTGAAAATTGAACTTAAAATTAGCCATATCTTAGACATGTTTCAAAACACTGAATAGAATAAACCAGTTGTATCACCTCTATTCGTTAGCTTAGTATTTTATAAAACGGTATATTAAACAATTTTGAAATTAATGTAAACTTACCTAAATTATGATGATTTAATTTGGGACCTGCATCATTCTCTAATTAAAAAAAAATTGTTTGGTAACACTAATATTTTTTAAAAACCTTTGCAGGAATATTATTAATTTAGATGAAAATGTTTGAGAAACTTTGTTTTATTGTATTTATTTTATCTCTCTATTTTTGTTTATATTACGTTTAAAAAAATATTGATGTTGACTATGGCTTGGGGGGGTAATTACCCCCATTACCCCCCTTATCTACGCCCTTGTATCAAAGTTGGCTACTGACATTACTTATCTGTCAAATTCGAATTTTTTAAATACTTTAATAAATAGCCTTTTTTTGAAATATGAATTTGACAGATAACTAATAATATCAGTAGCCAACTTTGATACGGGCTATTTTAAGTTGAATTGTAATATTAAAAAAAGTTCATATTGATCTAACTTTATGGCACACTCTTTATATAGCATATTTTTGAAATAAGAAAAAAGTGTAACTTCAAGAATTTAACAATATACAGGATATCCAAAAAATCTAGAAAAAATAAATAAAAGGTTTTAAATATCATTCAAAGCACCTAATTCTGTGCTCAAATATAATAGGTTTGTTCCAACAGCAGTACAGAACCGTTCCGAATTTATTTGCGCATGAGCAGCACGATTTAACTGGTCTATTTTTCGTGTTAGAAAAAAACCTAATAGAAATCATGTTTAAATTTAAATAATTTTAATATCCTCAAAAATTAAAAAAGAAATTATAATAGGAAAGCATTCAATCAATCTATACAAAAGTTAAAACGTTAAATAAGTGCAAATTATTGAAATTCATAGAAAAATAACCAGAAAATATAAAAAAAAACATGTTTAAGTTTTAAAAAGCCCAATTTGCTGCAAAATTAAAACAAATATTTTGCTGTATCTCGTGAAATATTGAAATATGCACGACACTGCTATTTTAACAAAACTTATGGTGACATAATTTTTATTTAAAACTTTTTATATACTTATTATGCAATAATAATGTTAATTAAAGGATGGGTAATTTATTATGAATAATCCTGTACAAGTGGATGTTAGATACAAAATATTGATCCCATCGTAATTCTTTAGATATAGAATATCCACATCCGATGCATTTTTTACATCTCGAGCGTTTGTTTATCCACATCTTGTCCTGCTACATTTACGTATAGTTATCAAGTGATCAAAGATTTACAACATCTCAGATGCATCCGATGTGGATTATCAAACGCAGCATATGATACTTCCTTTGTACTACCTCCCCACCTTTCTTTTAGATCCGTCCCTGTCTTTTACGTCGCGCTACATTTGTATAAAAGGTCAACAATAATTGATTATCTATTAAATATTAAGTATGCTACTTACTCTTTTCGCGAACCGTATTCCAATGTCTCTTGTGCTCATTTTCTTCGTTTCTTGTATTTCGTCACTTTCACTGCTATCCTCAGCTCCTGTAGACCCCGTTTCTGCATTTAAACTGTCCATTTTCCTTGAAAATACCCATGATTAGATATTAAAAGTGGGCAGCAATTAAATTTTTCAGAGTTCAAATGGTGTAGGTCAGATTTTTGATTGGCGATTAGATGTAAATAAAATATAGGTGATAAAAGGTTGTATTTGTGGGGAACGCTTAATGGCGGATAATGAGCGTAGAAACATCAGTGCAAATGGGATAAAAATGTTTTTAGAATGTTCAGTTGTTATTGCGAAATTCGGCTCAGTATTGATTTTTGTCCGCAGTTATTATGGTGGCAAGGGCAGCGGCGGGTTTTCGGGATTTATGCCGTGTCTAAAGCCAAATAGTTTGTGCAGCAAAAGTATAAATGACGGTCATATAGCACAGGCGAAGTGCGTAATCGTCTGAGTGCGATACGAACAATCCACTTGAGTTGTACAGTATATTTAATCTACCCACTAATGAAAATCTACAAATTTAAAAAACTATTTTTGGTTGGTATTAATATAAAATACCTAATTTTATTTTTACTAATTTGTGAAATAAAATAAATTTGTAAAACTAGTAGTTTGTGCAGCAAGAATGGATATAATGGCCACATTGCACGAAGACGAAGTTTGAGTGCGTCTGAGTGCGATACGGATAATACATTCGAGTTATAACAGTATATTTTTTCTACGACTCAATAATAAATATTATTTTAGGTTTTAGGATTAAATACCTAATTTAAATAGTAGTTTATGTTACAAGGACAAAAAGTTTGAGTTTTTCGGGCGACTATACAAGAAGTTTGCCAGGCGAGACGTAGTTGAGCATAGCAACTCGTAGGAGTCCGAAAAAATACTTTTCGTCCGTGTTTCATACATTGTTTTTTATTGGAATGCACTTAGATATTAAAAAATATACAGAAAATTAAATCTGAAACGATATTATTTCCAATAATGTTTCCTTAACTGAGTGGGCTATGAGAACAAACCTGTGTAACATTGCTGACAATTTCTGTTGTGTCACTGTAGTCATGTCAAATTAATTTAATTAGCTAGGTTATTAAAAATTGGTGTTAAAAAAATTACAAAAATGAGTAGTGACGAAGAAATTTGGCGTCTTTAAAATTGATTCCAAAAAAATAAAAATGGTATATAAAAGAACCTACCTCAGATTTAAAAATTCTAATCGGTATGCAACAATTTATACATTTAACTTTAGAGGCCATGGCCGATAAAGTACTTTATGAAATATATACAAAAGTTCTACTTTTCGACTATATTTTCTGCTCGAAACTTTAACTAATTTATCTAATAAAATAAATTTAATTAGTCTCCAATCCCAGAATTGTACCCGGGACTTCTGTATGAAACCCAAGTGCCCTAGTATCTGCTCCATCGCCACATAACATTTTAGTTTTTATACTCGTAATTAAATTGTTTTTATATAGTTTTATTAAAATGATTTATTGTAAATATAGAGGAAATAAAAATAGAAATGCTATTATTTATCGAATTGTCACTTATTTCAAATTTAAAGAAATATTAGTAGCTGGGTGATCAAAACATGAACTGTAATTGGTGGATTTCATATTTTTGCCGTTCGCTTACTAGAATGGATATGAAATATATTCGTTCGGTTGAACGCAAAGCATACTATTTCGTTAATATCCATGTGGGTGTAGAAAAAATATTTTATTTCATTAAATTCCAATCTAGGGAAGGGTAAAACAGTGACTTTTTAATAACAGGTACAGTCTGCTTCAGTTCCACAAAATAACTGTTTCAAAAAACCTGTTCCAGTTCCAACAATTTAAACCGTTGTTTGTTGTTTCGCGTCTGTTTTAAGGGTACCTGTCACAATGTAGCAGTCGCAAAAACGCAAATTTCAACTTAATAGTTGTTATTAATTATTATTACACCTATTATGAATGTTTTTTTTGCAAAAAAAAACTAAACTAAAAACACTATTGAACGAACAAATAAGTATGTCTCATACAATCTTATTTTATTTTTGTTTTATTTCAGAAAAATATCACAGATTCTATAATATTAATTTTTTAATAATAAATATCAAGCTGTTCCAATATTGCTGCTGGCTAGTCTGTAACTGCTATACTGTAACAGGCAACTGTCACAGTAACAGTAATTAATATTACTAATGCCAATGCCAAATAACAAGTTGTTCCAGTCCCACGCAATTTGCGCTCTGCGACTGTAACAGAAAGTAGCAAAGTCTCCATAAGTAGCAATTTAAAATAAACAATCTTCGTCCACCGAAACAACTGTTTCGTGGAACTGTTTCGTGATTCGATGAATACCTGTTCCCAGTCCCACGCAATTTGCGCTCTGCGACTGCGACAACAAGTAGCAATTTAAAATAAACTGAATCTCCGTCCACCGAAACAACTGTTCCGTGGAACAGACAACTGTTTCGTGGAACAGTTTCGTGATTCGATGTATACCTATTCCAATCTGTTCCAAGTGAAAACCTGTTTCAAAAATAACAGATACTGCTTCAGCGACACAACCCTACTCCAATCCTAGAGTGGAACCCGCATGGCTACTCAATACGCTACCATCAGCTCCATCGATACGCCTATATAACATCAATGTAATACGCTAAATTAGTGATGACGTAACTTTGGTTCCACTGACAATTACAGTGACAGTATTTTTTTGAGGACCAATATTTTCACCTTTGAGCAAAGATGAAAGTAACTTCTTGCTATTTAAACTATAGGTTATGTTCGCTACTTTGTCAAGTAAATCTACGTGTGGCTTAAAGCCTTGATTTCTTTGAACACTCCGTCGCGGTGAGCGGACAGTCCGTCGACCCTGAGGACGGCAATTTTGGCCCGAAGTGGTTTGTTAAAAAATATAGAAAATGATACTTTCTCTAGGTCTGTACGTGTTGTTTATGTATTATGAATGTAAACGAAAGGTACTAAAATGGATGCAAATAAATTGTTTGCGTTGTTATTATTGTTGGAAGAGGAAGAATAAGAGGAACTGGCAATTGCAACCGTCAAAGTTTCCAATAAGCCAGTGGATGAGTTGTTTTTGTGTCGCGATATAGAAGGTGCCTTTAATATCATTGTGCAGCTGAGGTTTTTTGGAAATGAAACCAAATTTAGGGAGTATTTTAGACTTTCTACAGATCTTTTTGAATTCGTGTTGAGTTTTATAAAGAACATAATTTCCAAGAAATCTAAAAATAAAGTCATGATGTCATTTGTATGTGTGAATTTGTCACCCATTGTTTTAACATTAATAACAATATAGTCTCCGCACACGCCGACGATTCCGCTGATATCAAACTCAACAGATATCAACCGACTCTTCGCGACAAATCAGCGGCATGACGCCGTCCTGCTCAGCTAAGCGGATTCAAGAAAACCATTCCCATTTAAATACTCTGGTTGGATAAAATCGTCAAAACGCGACGGTTAACGGACTGTCCGCTTACCGCGACGAAGTGTTCAAAGAAACCAAGGCTTAAGCCTTGGTTTCTTTAAACACTCCGTCGCGGTGAGCGGATAGTCCGTCGATCGCTAAGGACAGCAAATTTCGCCCGAGGTGGTTTGTTAAAAAATATAGAAAATGATACTTTCTCTATGTCTATACGTGCTGTTTATGTATTATGAATGTAAACGAAAGGTACTAAAATGGATGCAAATAAATTGTTTGCGTTGTTATTATTGTTGGAAGAGGAAGAACAAGAGGAACTGGCAATTGCAACCGTCAGTTTCCAATAAGCCAGTGGATGAGCTGTTTTTGTGTCGCGATACAGAAGGTGCAGCGGAGGCTTTTTAGAAATGAAACCAAATTTAGGGAGTATTTTAGACTTTCTACAGATCTTTTTGAATTCGTGTTGAGTTTTATAAAGGACATAATTTCCAAGAAACCTAAAAATAAAGTCATGATGTCATCTGTATGTGTGAATTTGTCACTCATTGTTTTAAAATTAATAACAATATAGTCTCCGCACACGCCGACGATTCCGCTGATATCAAACTCAACAGATATCAACCGACTCTTCGCGACAAAACAGCGGCATGACGCCGTCCTGCTCAGCTAAGCGGATTCAAGAAAACCATTCCCATTTAAATACTCTGGTTGGATAAAATCGTCAAAACGTGACGGTTGACGGAGTGTCCGCTCACCGCGACGAAGTGTTCAAAGAAACCAAGTCTTTACGCAGAGGTGAGAAGATCGGCCCTTAAACTTTTATAAATATATTTCTATAGTAAGCAGCTAACATGTATCAAGTATATAATCACTTTATTATAATTCATTGTTTCTACACCCACATGGATATTAGCTTATCTACACACAGATTACAAAATGAAAAAGTGTGCTATTCCGTTTAACTGTATATATTTCATATCCATTCTAGGTATTGAAAACACTGCAAAAAAATGAAATTCACCAATATCAGTTCATATTTTAGACACCCAACTACTCGAGCAACTACTATTATTTTTAAAATTTTAAAAAAGTGACAATTCTGTTAAATTAATTGTCTTTCAGTTATTGAGATTAAATATACATTAAATGGAGTCATTTTTTATTAGAATCGATAAATGATAACATTTTTTTTTTATTTGGGCCACATTTTGGAAACAAATAAATAAAATTTTAATCAAACTATATGAAACTAATTTAATTACGAGTATTAAAACTAAAATCCTAAAAGTATGGAATATCCAGGGTTCGAATCTGGGTTGGGGACTATTTTTTTATGTTTATTTTATTTTATAAATAAGTAAAATTCATAGATTATTTTAATATTAGTTATTTTGTCTTAATAACCTAATATAATTTTTTATATTTGTAGATTTGTTACTGGGCCGTAGAAAAAATATACAGTTCAACTCGAGTGGATTGTCCATATCCACTCTTGTTGCACAAACTATTATTGAAAAATAATGCGCTGATGCACTTAGTTATATAGGTTGTAGTTTATTCCACTAGAGGGCACAATATTCTACAAATTATATTTCCTTTGAATTTTTGGAAAAGAATAAAAAATGGGTAGGTATTATA